CTGAGGACCCCTGGATCTCAGAACGGTCCCGTTCTGACCTGGATCGGTCTCCTGTCAGCTCTCTGTGGCCGCTGCACGGATCGGGGACACCCTGGACGGCTCTGTGTCGGATCGCGTTCGCCAGTCCATCGGATGGATCCTGGCTTCCACCCAGAGAATGGACTGAACTGTTTAACCAGACAGTGTCAGTGATTGAGCGATGCAGGTCCACAGATCCACAGCAGCCTGTTTCTATTCTGTTATGTTCTGTTTTGATTTAATAAACATTTTAAACTTTCCTACTGTCTGACTTAGAATACTGGGTCCGTCTATCCTGTTTTTTTTACACCAATGATCCGGGCCCATGGTAAGGTTTTGGATGTCCTCACCTGTACGGGTTGTTGAGCAGGTTGAGCTGCTGAAGAACCTCCAGTTTCTCAAACCACTTGTAGTTGAGAGTCTTCAGCTGATTGTCAGACAGATCCAGCTTCTCCAGGCTCCACAGAGCATCAAACGCTGATGGATGGATCACGGCTAATCTGTTACCTTCAGGAAACAGACTCCTGGATTAGACTTATTTCACTGGTTATTTCTATTGGGATGTATCAGATCTCATCATGGTTACCGTGGAAATCCAGAACTCTCAGTTTTGAGTGTTCCAACAGGTCGTTTTGGGTCACCAAGGTGATGTTGTTGAAGGAGAGGTCAAGGCTGAGAGCTTGGTCCGTTACCATGGGAACATGAGTGAAACCCGAGTGTGAGCAGTTGCAGTATCGATGAGGGTTGCAGCGACTGCAAGGCAGCCTGCCATCGTCCCCATTTTCCATCTGACCCCAGATCAGTGAAGAGAAGAGGAGCGGCGCCAGTATCCACAGATGTTTCATACTGTTTATAAAATTTGGTATATTTTTACCTGGAAAAGGCAGAAATAGGAAATTAATTCAAAATCTTTAGCTTCTACAGATGGATTATAAAACAGAAGTGAAAATCCAGAAGCATGTGTGAGTAAATTATTTTTTGTGGGAACAATAATCTCCTTTCCACCGTCGACCCCAACTGCCTCTCACAGACACGTAGCTGTTTAAGAGGGAAGTGCTTCTGGGGTTATGGCGGTTTTTTTATGTGACTTAGGATCAAACTGCTGCAGACAAGAAAAAAAAAATCACGACATCTTCACTTTAATCGCTGTTTATATTTGAATATTTTAATTGATAAAAACATTTAAAAAAAAACCTAAATAATAATAATAATAATAATGAATTTTATTTGTAACGCACATTGAATTCAAATCTCAAAGTGCAACAGTTTAAAAAGGGAACTTTAAAACAAAGGTTAAAAGACATAACATTAAAACAGAGTAAAAGACAATCATTAAAATTAATACATTTGGAGGCATATGTAGCCTATTATAAAATCTAAAAATCAGCAATAGAGAAATTGCACACCATATAACCTTTTATGTCGGCAAATTGACAAAGACTGCTGGATATTTATCCCAACATGTTCTTAAGAAAACTGGGGAAAGTATGACTGCTTCTGATCTAAGACTGTGAGCCAGATGACTGAGAATTTGCACAGGAAATAATAATGTTTTAAAACAGCATCTATGGAGAAAAAAGCAATAAGCTGTGAAATCTGTGAAAGCTTTTTAGAAACACAAAAGAAAAAAGTCTTCATCTAATGTGAAAGCTATTTTATTTAAGTCACTGTTCTGGAAAAAAGAAAACAGCTAAGGGCAGATATAAAATAAACTGTAACTGTATTTATGTCCAAATGTCAGACTGTCTGGGTCATTTTTCTTACCTTAATATCTGCTGAGCTGAGGTGTACAGGATGAAAATGAAGTGAATAAAATGGTTTCTCCTGTCTTAGAGAGGAACTATAAGTTAAAGTGTACTGTGAAGCTGTTAAAAGAGGAAGTGAAAATGCCTCAGGTCCGTGCCTTATGCAGACCATGCAAATATGTCCACCTGTCTTTCTCCATTTTTTATAGTAAGCACATTATCTCATTCTGTTAACCCTTTAAAGCCCGATCCAAGAATAAAACAAAACAGACAATTACTTTTTTTTTTGGTTTGAATTCCTTATTTGGCCTTTTAACAAAATATGTAAAAAGAAAAAACAGAAATAAAGTTTTGATATTAATAATTTATTACTAGCGATAAGCGAAGATTATTTTTTGTGTAGTCTTCTGCCCTCTGTTGTCAGGTATATCTGATTGTGTACAATAGGATTTTGAGCAAAGTTTTTACCATTAAATTATGCAAAAGGTGTCAGACGCAAAACATTTCAGAAACTGTATGTATCAAATACGATACATTTGGCATTACGGGGTTAATCTTCTAATTTGAATTTATTCAAAATGACAAATAAGCTGGGTAATGTTTCAATTGATTCGCAATCAATATTAGCTTTAATAAAGTTATTTTCAGTATAATGTTGGCTTTGTTTTCTATTTTTCAGAGTATTTAAAATCAGCAGACATCTTGTTGTCAGTATCTGCACTTGTAGGTAATCTTTTACATCTTAATTCTGAGAATGGTTTCTGTTATATATAGTGTTGCGCCAATGCCATTTTTTGGCTCCGATACCTGGCTGTGCAGTATTTACCGATACCGTACCGATACCATCTGTTTGAAATTGATATGTGTGTGTATATATGAATAACTGGATACTACTTGGATGTAAAATAATTGCCACCATGGCTTTGTCAAGCTGCTGCCTACCTTTGTGAAGCAGGAAAAAGACTAATACAAAATGAATCATGTAGAATTTTTTTATTGCCTACCTGGAATGGGTGACAATAGTTGAATAAACTTTCAGCTCCCAAAATTGTATCGGTATGGGTGCAACACTAGTCATATATTACAGATGATATGCAGTAGTAGCCCATAGATGAGTTTTCCTTGGCCATTTTCTGTGCTGTTAGTTTCATTTTCATGCAATGTGGATTTTTATTATATAAAGGCCTACAATGTACAGTAAGATTTCTTCCAGTTTTTTTTAAGCATCTCTTGTTTATTTTGATGAGCTCACATTTTGTTGCATTCACAAGTACATTGGGTATAAAGATGTCATTGTGCTCAGTGTGTAAATAAAGAAACAAACATGTATGGATAATGTTAGTTTCGCATCTTTCTCACAAAGTTCATGTTAAAGGTTAGTTAGGAGTCACTTCTACTTTTTGATCTATAATACAAGTAAAGCCTCCTTCAATTATACAGCATCAACGAGGATGCTTCTCTAAATCTTGAGAAAGACAATATTGATCACATAAGTGAGTGTCAGAATGAATGTTCTGGAACAAAATTCAGACACGATGGTAAAAAGTTAAGTTTTAATATTTTAAGAAAGTATTTCTTTAGGCAAACAATAAATACCTACAGGCAAGGAGGGATAGAAGTGAATTGTGAGCCCAATGACTGTTGACAAAAGATTAACCTTAGATACAGGGCAAAAAACAAACAGTAGAAGAAATGAGGAAGCACAGGTGCAGAGTTGCCTAATTCCCAAAAGGTTCTGGCTGAGAGAGAAATGGTAGAACCACGAACAAACAACAAAGATGGATCCAATAATCTAGAAAAGAAAAATGACTTGAGGATGTAAAAGGAAAACCACATAAATATTCTTAACGATAATTAAGGGAAATAAACATAAAGCAAAAAAAAAGGCACAGCCCTAATGACAAAAATAACAAAAATGGCAAGATCCAAACTTATAAAGTTGACAAAATTTTGATTTCAGAAGTAGGGGGGGGGGAGGCAAGTATTTTTGAATATAACTAACTTCAGCGTGTTTGACCATCCAATCACAGACCCGATTCAGTGGCACATCAGATGTTTGTACAGTGAGCTTCTCGGGAGTGACAGTGGTGACAGCCAATTACACAGGAAAAGACTTTGGGCCAATCAGGAGCTTGTGGGCGGTCCAAACTCAGGGAAACAGGCTTCAGTTTGATCTGCTGTTTTTTCGCTTGGTCCTTGTGCTCGACAAATGTCTGTAGATGGTAGCGTAACATTGTTTTTGTACAGTAAAAGTTGCAGGGGAACAAAATGGACCTTTGAATAAGCGCCACTCCTAAAATTATATCCATTAATCCACTGCATTTCTAGGAAGCTAGTCATTACTCATTCCGTTTGGCTCAGCTTAGCGTTGTAATCCTTTTTTGCTCTTGAAATGCAATTGGCCACACTAGGGCTGTTTCTCAATATCTATACTTGTGCATTCTCGTGTGCTCGTGAAACATCATCAGCCTCAGCCCTAGTACTGTTCCAATTCACTAGAACACAAGATCAAGAATGGACAAAGTCCCCCGATGTTGTTCTCTCCCCTCCCTCGTTACTCAGGATGCTTTAGAGCAGACTTGTCCATTCTCCAGATTGACAGCTGTCCCAGCATGCACTGCGGCAGCAGCAGCTTCCAGGTTAGCGCTCACAGAACTCAGAGTATTGCGTTAAAAATTCTAAATAAGTGCGTAATTTAAAATAAGTTCTGATGATAAGAGGACCGAGGCAACCAGCGGAGCGCCAAGGCTAATGTTAGCCTGTCTGCAGCAGCCCTCTCTCTGCATAGATGCATAGTATCGCTGGCTCTGATGGCGATTTTGTTTTATTTAGCAAAGTATTCATTTGATTTGTGTTTATCTGACTGTGTTCATTATTATTCCCCCACTAAATGAAAAAAGTAAGAATACATTATTATCTACAGAGTATCAATAACATCTGAAATGCAGCTCCAGATGAGCCGAGCATGTGGTGATGTCATCAGTACGCTTCTGTTCCAATTGACCCATATTTATGCTGCATGCTCTGGTTCTCCTGGAGTCCACACTTTCCTGTGTTCTTTGCAAGAACATACTTGGCGAGGACACAAGTCCAAACTTGCGTTCTTATGAATTGAGAAACGGCAAATGGTTCTAACAAAGTTCAAAGTTCATCCTTTAGAACAGCTGTCCTGGATGTTTAAGTTATCTCTTTTTCAGCACACCTGCGTCAAACAGTAACTTAGTTTGAATTGGTTCCATTTCATTCTCATTGTTCTTTGTTTAGCTCTACACACAGTTTCATGTGCCTTCTCCTTCCAACTTTTTTCCTTTCAGTCATCGTCTCTTTTCAGAGCTTTGCGTAGACTCCTCCAAAACTCTGGCCTCCTGTCCTCCTCCTGAGGCCATTCCAGGTAGGTGGTAGAGCTCATGAGTTTGCGCAGTTTGCAGAATCGTTTTGGAACGTCATCCTTGGATAATGGCTCCAGCAGAATCAAGATGGCAGCATCTCCACCTGAATCAAACAGCCAGAAGTGGGAAAAATCCAGCTCATAGCGGCACCAGTCCGACTGGACGAAATTCTCGGAGAGGACAAAGATAGTATGTCGGCTGTGCTCAATGGCGCTGATGATGTTGTCTACAATGGCGTGTCCAGGAAGGAAGTCCCGCTTATGGAGGCACAACGACAATGGCTGAGAGGAACAAGCACTCCTGGAACTGCCCTCACTGGTGAGACACAAACAGGAATACTGACTGTGGATACTTTTTTTTTTATTGTTAACTATTGTTTGAAACAAGAAGTTCAACTCTGTTGAAGGAAGGTGTGATAAAAAAAAAAATTATGTTTTGAATTGAATGACACACTAAATATATATATATATATATATATATATATATATATATATATATATATATATATATATATATATATATATATATATATATATATATATATATATATATATATATATATATATATATATATATATACTACGGAACCCGAGATTGGTGGCGTCCCTCAGATACTTATTTTTCACTGTGGTTTTCTCGAGGAAATGAGTTAATTTTCGAATTATTTAAAGATAACGAAAGCCATTTTCTTGTGATAATGAGATGATTGGTGTTTGTTAAAACTGATTACATCCTTCAATACCACAATATAACAGTAGGAGAAGAATTATTAGTATAAGTCATGGCAGCCTATGTGCAATTCTGTAAAAAAACCTGTGTTTAACTTTTAGTTAACACGACAACGTTGTTGTTTTGATTATTTGCGTCCTCTTCTAATTCATAATCAATTAGACCTATGCCTCTGGCACCTTAGCACCGGGTGTTTTCTGAACAGCCCCGGTGTTATGCCTCTAACAGATATAACATGCATTAACCCCCAAAATGAGTCCAAATGAAAGATTTTCATTGAAAAACAGTCAGATTTGTTTATATAGTATTCCATGCAATCCAATCGTCCACCACAACATGAAAATTAGTGAAAAGAAATAGGAAACTAAAAAATGTTTTATTTGTGCACACCCAGTACCCCGACTGCAAAACTACGGTGCTTGCAGTCATGAATGGACTGGGAATCCAGGGCTGTTGGCCAGCCTCATTCATTACCCATACAGGTTAATCATCATGTTATCTCCCGAAATCAATAACTGTTTTCTTGTGATAAAGAGGTAATTATCTTGTTATCACGAAAAAACAATTACTTGTTAAGCCGTGATAACGAGATAGTTATGTCGTTATCTCTAGAAGACAAAGGAAAAAAAAGTGTTGAGTACGACCACTCTCGGCTTCCGTAATATACTGTATATAGCCCATACCCCTTCCTTTTGGCAGCTTTTTCTTCTTTATGACTATTAGAGCCAATGTAAAGAGTAAATTTCTCCTCTTTGAGATCAATAAAGTCAATCAATCAATCAATAAACTAATCAATTCTGAAAATGAAAAAGTGTCTAGTAACTTCTGTAATTCTGTTCCCTGATCACTGGTTATGAAAGCATCAAGACATACACTACCGTTCAAAAGTTTGTGGGGTCAATTAAACACTCAAAATGGCCAGAAAAAGAGAACTTTCATCTGAAACTCGACAGTCTATTCTTGTTCTTAGAAATAAAGGCTATTGCTAAGAAATTTAAGATTTCCTACAACGGTGTGTACTACTCCCTTCAGAGGACAGCACAAACAGGCTCTAACCAGAGTAGAAAAAGAAGTGGGAGGCCGCGTTGCACAACTGAGCAAGAAAATACATTAGAGAAAGTACATTAGAGTCTCTAGTTTGAGAAACAGACGCCTCACAGGTCCCCAACTGTCATCTTCATTAAATAGTACCTGTAGTAGCCTTCATTGAAAAGTACAGTGTTTTCCTTCAAAAGTAAGGACATTTCAATGTGACCCCAAACTTTTGAACGGTAGTGTAAGAGGCTAGGGTAAAACAAAAACACATACCTTGGCTCCTCCAACTCTGGTACCAAGAAGTTTTCTACCCAGCTAGCATCCTTTTCACTATAAGAAACAAAACCATCAAAGGACAGCAACGCTTCCGAGTCCATGGTGTCTTTTCGTTGTTTGTGGGAACTTCGTTTGGCTTTGAGCCATGCCCAAGTCATCTTGATGTACCAGAAGGCATGGAGGCGCCAGAGCAAAATGCACACCAGTAACCCAAAGAATAGGGCAACGCCGCAGCACACAGAGACAAATAAAACCTGATGGCAAACGACGATCGAGAGGCGGACCTCACTCACTGCCCCCCCCTTCAGGTGGAAAGGGGAGTCACAAGCATAGCTGTCCTTGCTGTCTGTTAACTTGACAACGCCGCCTTCTTGGAGTTCAAATTGTAGAAAATGAACAAAATCACAGGTGCAGATGAACTTGTTGTAACCCGCCTGGAGGCTCTCAAGCCGTTTGTATGACTGGAGGTCTGGAAGACCGAACACATTCAGGGTGTTAAACTGGAAAAAAAAAATAAACCAAAAAATGAACAGGTGTTACAGAATGGGAAATACAAAGGGTATTAACTGAATTAACTGACATATATTGATGCTTTCCCACCTGCATTGTTAGAGTTTGTAGATTGGGAAACTGCTGTCCGTTTGGTAATACTTGGAACTTGTTTCCAGACAGGTATAGCTCCCTCAATAAAGGTAAGGACAGGGAGATATCTTTGAGATCATTGTAACTCAGGTCCAGCACCTGTAAATAATGATGTACTAAGCTAGTTAAGCATGTCTTTGATATGAACGCTTCAACCTGTTTTGGCTCGGTAGAGTATGGACTAATCTTATTACCTCAAGTGATTGTGGTAAACAGTCAGTGATGGTGGTTAGCTTAGCTCTGGAGATGTTGAGGTACTTCAGTGTTACTGGCCAGGAGCAAGTTGAAGGCATTAAGTTGTAGCCAGTTCTACTGATGTCCAGGTGAGTCAGTTTCGGGAGCTTGGCCACCATTCGGCTTATCGTGGAGAAAGACTGGACAGATGCACACAAACCTTAAAACCAAGGAAGTCTGATGCCTGGTAATTAAGAGGTACAACTTCAAGCTGTATACGGACACCTTTAGAGGGTTTCCACTGATGTTCAAAACTCTGAGTTGCTTCAGGGTTTCCTGTCCATGGCAAAGCGATTCTGCTATAGTAAGATCAGTCAGTAGATTGCTGGACAAGTCAAGGTACTGCAGATTTACCAGCATTCTGGAGGTTTCACAGGGCATCACAAATACCTGTGGGTAAAAGTAAATATTAAAAGAAATTATAAATTACAATACGCAGTGTCCTCTGCAAACCTTTGGCTTAAAGGAAAAGTCCGGTCGGCAAGCAATACCCAATGGGTCATTATTTATACCTAAAACTAATACGTTTGCGGCGATTTAATGAATTTGGTGTTAATCAGTAAAATAATAAAAATAATATTTTTCATCGCAATCACTGAGTCCAGGAACGGCAATTTTTGCCAAAATGTAGTAACACGTCACTCCTGATGTCTTCCGGCAGTGACGTCACGGTGCGGTAAGCCTAGCGCCATTCTCCCCGCTTTACAAGCAAAATCAATGGGAACTACTAGACACATCTGCAATCAACAACAATTATTGAAGATTTCCAGAGGACTTCACCATTGAAATTCACCAGAGCTATAGTGAAACTGATAATGCCCACATGCACAGTAGTTGGATGTTGGAATACATCGAGTAAAAGTGGGACAAAAAATTTGATTTCGCTATTCCGATTCATGATCCTCCACAGACGGGTTCGTCGTTGGATTGCCAGCTTGAAGACGGATGATTTGCTGAGCTAATTCATCCCTCTTCAAGTCACTCTCTGCTTCGCATAGTGAACTGGTCGTCTCCATCATGTATATTAGCGTGTTGTGACAAACGGCAGATACAGCACTGGGACTCGCTCAACAGCTGACAGCGCACTGTGACGTCACAAGGTGGCAGTATTGTTCTTTGACAAACATGGATGTCTGCAGTAAAGCACATTCAAATAAAATTACCCTTAAATAAAAAAAAAAACTTATCACTTCTTGAACAGTATGTAATAATTTCCTACTTTCAGAAGTTTTAATTAATATGACCAGACTTTTCATTTAAGACTTTGGTTCATACAAAAGCACTGAAAGTTTTGTAGTCATCAACACATGTTTACCCCACAGTTTATGATGGACAACTTTCTTGGGTAATTCAGAAGAAAACCTAGCTGTAGGAATGCAGTGAACTTAAAAGCATCTAGAATCACAGTATTTTGGAGAAAGAACTCGTCGATGCTTTTGTGATCTGTCCGATTGGCTTTCTCCCACCTGCCACAGAGAAACAGTAGGTTTCACAGTTAACTCATCACACAATATTCTATATCATGGGATAGATTCTTATTAAGCAGAAAATAGTACTTTGAAAACAGATTCTTTCTGATAAAAATAATTTTTTTGATAATTATTAAAGGTTGTACCAGCAGGTACTCGCTCCTTACCACTACATTAGAATGTTTGGGTACCCATATGTCACAGATTTAAGTCTTAGATAGGGGTCACCAATTAAAAATCAGCAGGGTCCGAATAAAGAAAATCAACAACCAGTAAAGGTCCAGAGACATTTTTAATTATAATCAGTTACTTTACACAGCATCCAATGCTGAAATAAGTAATTACAAGGCCAGTTTTGCCTATACAGATACTGTTTAATGTCTAAGTTTTCTCTGTCATCAAATTTCTGACCCTTAAATTTTTTTGTTCTTTGCTTTAATGTTGTCAAGATTGATTTGGACAAAGTTTATAGCGTTACACTACTTTAATGATGTGATGTGTGTTCTAATATAATAGACATAACAAAAGAAAATCTGTCAGCATTTCTTTTTTACTGAACTAAGTGCAAGATATTACAATTTTAAAGCATAAAAAAATCAAAAAAAATCTCAATTGTAGTAGAGTTAACAATACTCCACATGAGTTAAGCTCAAATAACAGAGTTAAACTTTATGCTCAGGTTTGGGTCAAACCAAAAGTTTTGTTTTGTTTGTTTTTAATCAAACAGCAGCAGTGCATGCAAGAGCCGGATCGATTATTACTGAGTAATGACCTAGTTCCTGTCAAAGTCTAATTTAAAAAAATATCAAAAAGGTTTAAGAATGTTTTGAATATAGAAAACTGTTAAAGCACCTGGAATCAAATGCGAATGCATCTGAGTTTATAGAAAGAGATTTAGGCCTATCTGAAGGAACAAGAGGCCAAACAAAGAGATTTGTAGTTTAGTCTATGCAGCGATTGCAGCATATTGAATACTGTCTCTCCCCGTTCAGTACCGACTTCAGAAAACAGTTGGTACTGACAATTACATGGTAGCATAACCACATTACACCCCATGTGCAGGGACTGCCATGCCGTATTGGCAAGCAGCTGGACAGAACCATCTTCAACCTCTGGACTCAGACTGAACTTTACACTACAAAAACAATCTATAAATAGGTCAATATTTCTTAAATTAAGTGTATTTACCCTTAATTTGAGTATGTATATCACATGATCTGCCAATGGAATGAGTATTTTTACTCTTAAAATATGATAATTAGATAATATGCACTTGAAATAAGACAAATCAATTGTGTTTTCTTATTTTAAGTGTAAATTGTTTTGTTTCATTGGCACAATGTCTCTTTTACCTCCTCAACCCAAGAACAAATGCACTTATTTTAAGAAAAAATTACTTATCTAGATTTCGATTTTTTCCAGTATAAGACCAGAGGTTCTTGCCTTATATCCTGACGCTGCTCACTTCGGTTCAGTTTTCAATAAATGTTTTGAGTATTCCAACTGTTTGTCGTCTTTGAATGCGGAAGCTTCTGCTCTGATCTAATTTGACCTCATTCCAAATACTTCAAGATAAACTAGGTTTCTCAAACATAAATCCTAACTGTGATACTATTGTTTCATATTATTAATTATGTTTTTCAACTAGTTTAGTTTATTTTGTTTCCCTATAGTCAAGAGTTTTAAATCGAAACATGTTTGACTTGGAGATGAAGTTTTTTTTTGGTTCATAAACTTTTATATTTTGAATGAAAGTGGTTTTGAATGTATTCCATATATGTACAGAGTTATCTATTTGAGCATGATTTGAGCTTTATTCTCACATTTATTTGTTGTTCTAACACAAAACTAGTTGGACATGTTTTAACAGAACAATATGTGAAACTCTGAACTTTATGATTTAATACCTAAATCAACAATCCTATTCAGGAGGTTATTGAAGATATTGTAAATGCATAACACATGGGGAATCTCTATTAGAAATTATTTGTTATTATACATTACAGCCAGCAGGTGTCACTGTTATGGTACTATTGAAATCACCAAGACTACCATTGTTTATAGAAGTGGGTATTTCAAATTTGAAGTCTGAAAGGGGATTTTACCTACTTAGAGTTAAAAATAGGATATTGAAGTAATCTAGATACTCAGCATGCTGCTATTTGGGTTGGTTAATTTCACCACTATAAGAAATATGACAGTACTGTGACAAGCTTTTTGTCAGAGGGAAATCTTAGATATGTTGATCAGTCGATAAGTTAATAAAATAGCCTGGAATCATTATATTTTCTGAGAAATTAATACATATTTCATAAATAAAAGCCCTTAGTTATGGACAATTATTCTCGCAACCGGGATACCTCTAAACAAACACGTTTCTGATAAACTGCTGAGAAATTTCGTTTATTCTATTAACTGATTTGTTGAGGGAATGATTTACTCTACATCTGTAGAATTTTCAAATATCTGCAGGTGAGTCTCTTGTCCTATTTTCCTACCTCCCTTCGCCTGTCAGCTGGGCATCTTTAATGGAAATGAGGGAGAGGGGGACACCATCCGTTACCACAAGGAAGTCAACAATCGACTCATCAGACACGGAAAGGTTGCGGAAAGAAATTTGCCTAGAGAGCAACATTAAAAAAAAAGTTTGTAAAGGCAGGTCAAAAACATTAATGTAGGATATAGAATGAGGATAATAATCAGACCGGATCCTTTTCTTGGCTGACTCCCTGAAGGGCTGAACAGACTGGGTCCCAATCAGATGGATGTCCTCTAAAGTGATCAGAGTCTCAGGGTACGATATGTCAGCGAGCACAGCTGCAGCCAAGGTCACATTGGTTAGGAATGGACCCTGGAGGCTTAAGGTAATATGACCCAGAGGCCAAATGTCTCCTAATGTCCCAGAGTCGTACCTGCAGAGAACAAAGTCAATGCATTAAAATGCATTTACGTCTCAACAAGTCGCTCTCAAAAAATGAATGTGTGAACACCTGGCCAGGTTGTTGGCATGCACAGTGAGCTCATCCAGCTCTGTGACTCCTAGCAGATCTCCTCTCCTCAGCTCCTTCAGAGCTGGACCTCCAAACATCAGCCTCCTCAGGCGGACGAGTCCATGAAACGACGAATTTGAACTAAGATGGCTGAAGGGGACCAAAAAGAGGGGATATTAGGAGGTTTCTGCTAATAGTGTCCTGTAGCTTACCCAATATTTGCCATATTTGACCACTTAAAAAAAAGGACAGGTGCTTCTTAATTCCAATCTCTACAAGAGAAAAACAGTGGTGAACTTATGACAATGCAATGGAAACCAACCTGAGATATTTAATAATGCCCAAGCATGTGCACAATTCAGGTTCATGGGAGGAAGGAGGAAACTATGAGACTGGGCCTTCTGACCAAAGCAGGTAATTAGTTTTTTATTGGTGCAATCTTAAATTTCCTAATTTATTCTATTATGTGGATCACAAAGTTTTCTGTCACTGTAGAGGAAAAGGTAGACATGCATTTATCTGGCTGATGTGGATTCTGTGTTCAGCTAAAATGGATAGAAATTAAAATGAATAGAACTAATGTTTGTGAAAGTTTCATTATTAATAAAAAACAGTGATAATTAAAAACTAATTATAATTTCTTGAAACATGTCATTCAAAATAAGAGACAATGAAAAAGTCTAGTTCAACATCTGTGCATAACACAGACAGGACAGCTTTATTGCAGTAGTTTTTGGCGTCCACATAGTTTATTAAACGTAATACTACGATAAAATTGAGATTATTAGGTTTAATCAAAGTGCGGCCTGTTTTAATTGTCTGTGGTTCTTTTATAACAGCCTCAAAATGTCAGGTTGGATGGAGGTTTTAAGTGCAGAGACTGAAACTGAAGGTGTTTAATTGAAAAAGGTGGCAACGCAAGCAAACATCCAAAAACATAATCCACAAAATCCAAAAATACTAAAAACCAGAAATAATAACAAGAAGGGCAAATAAATGATGACAAACCAGCAACAGTGACTGAGCAGGAGGTGCACATATGGGAGAGAGAAACAAAGACCAGGCTAATCAGCAGGTTGGGAGCAGGTGTGAACAGAGGACTCTAGAAGGGAGCTAGGAGAAGGAGACTGACACAAGAAAGTTACAAAAGGGCAAACAAGAAATACCTAAGAACTCAAATGCAGTCAAACATAACTAGAATATCACAAAATGGAAATAAAACCAATGAAAACTCAAAGATAAAACTTAAACAGAACCAAACCCATGACATCAAACAGCTGAATTAACTTCCTTTGAGTTAATAACTTGAATAGACAGAGACAATAGTTTCCTTCTGGTTAATGATTAATAACTGGAGTTGAACTATAAACCAAGCTATTGACATTTGGTGGTGAAGACAAGTTGGATTTTAACAGCCAGTCCAAACGTCAAGCCACAATTCTATTAACACCTGGTAACTGAGCAAGTTGCCAGTTACAATCATTTCAGATTAAACTGTAAACTGCGGTTACAGTTATAAATAAATGCATAATAGATTTGCAATGGGACTGGATGCATTAATGATGCCGTATCAGTTACAGTAGATACATCAGAAAGCGTTCACCTGTTGAGCTCCTCACCTGTACGGGTTGTTGAGCAGGTTGAGCTGCTGCAGAACCCCCAGCTCGTTGAACCACTGCTGGTTGAGGGCCGTCAGCTGGTTGTCAGACAGATCCAGCTCCTCCAGGCTCCACAGCGAGTCAAACGCTGATGGATGGATCACAGTGATACTGTTACCTGCAGGACACAAGCGTTACCGTTCAGACATTTTACTGGCTGTTTCAGGGAGACCACGTGTAAACAATGGTTACCATGGAGATTTAAAACCCTCAAACGCGAGTATCGCATCAGGTCATCTTGAGTCACCAGGGTGATGTTGTTAAAGGAAAGATCCAGGATGAGAGCTTGGTCGGTTACCATGGGAACCTGGGTAAATCCACCGTGGGAGCAGTTACAGGACAGATAGAGGTCGCAGCGACTGCAGGACGGCCTGCCATCCTCCCCGTCTACCATCCGACCCTGGATCAGGGATGCCAGCAGGAGGAGGAGCGTCAGGGAGCAGCTAGTCAGGCTTCCCATGCTGCAGAGTGGCAGAGCAGATTTAATGAACCGTACTGGAGAAGGAAGTGAAACTCTCACACTGGGGAAGTAATTTGATCAAACAGGAAACATGGTTTATTTTTGATTTTATTACTTAGAATCTTTAAGCATCTGTGCAGAATGTAACCACAAACAACATGTTTTCCTTTTACCCCTTTGCTCTTACAGAGCCCAGAGCTTCCATCGACCTGCTCTATGTTTGAATGCCTATTCAAACATAGATATACATTTCTCTGACATCTGATTATTGCAGACTTCTAATAAAGTATTTTTAAGTTGAAAGATGACCCAAACTTTTTAACATTAGAACATTAGATATTTTCTTTCAACACTAAGATGGTAATCAGCTCATAATACATGGATGAATGCTGAGGCATTTAGTTCAATACAATTTTGGCCGTATATGGCTTCATGACCCAAAAAAAATAGGATGTGAACTCATTTAAAAAAAATGTAGCATTCAGAAGATTTTTTTTTATGAATTTCCGCTGACTAAAAAGAAGAAACATGTAAATTGTCAATGTGAGTCACTACAAACGGATAACTATAGTAAGATCCTTTTCTTTGTATGTATTCAGGTAATGTTAGAACTACTTTCTAGTGAGAACTACAGTAGGGCAGCTGTGTTTAGGATCAGCTGCAGCTGTCTGATGGAGTTTTTAGGAAAACCAATGAAGACATTTGGTAGAGTAATTAAATCATTATTTAAAAAAAAAAGATTTCCCTGACATACATCTTATGTGAAAAATTTTAAATCTAGCTGTTTGAGCTCAACATTGTATAGTTTTCAAGTTCGATAGTTTACTGTTTTTTTCCTACCATGAACTAAAACTTGAGATTTTAAATCTATCTTTCTTTTGTAGTTTCTTTTTTTACTACTGGAACCATCTTCATGTCTAAGAAAAGTAATTTAAAGGTCCCGATTTTGTGCATATTTTTCGTCAGTGTCCTGATGTCTGTGTCCCAACCGCTATAAAAATATGGGATAACTTTTGACCCTTTGCACATTCACCATTCACTGGCTCCTGGGTGACGTGTGCTTTGGAACGCTGTTTGCCAATGAATAAAATTAAAAAGACAAGATCGAGCTTCTTCTAATAATTAGGACTAATAATTAAAATTTCTAATTACCAACACTGCCAGCTTTCTTTGCATGTGGAGGAGACAGAGTCGGAGCTACGTAATGTCATGATCTGGCCTGTTTGCTCTCCCTTAATTGGTAATTTCTTTCACCTGTCGTTTTCCCTCCCTGCCTCAATTATCATTTATTTCTCTCACCTGTTTAATTTGGTTTATATTCTGTTCAACCTGAGTATTTGGGGCCAGATCATTATTTGTTTTTCTGTTAGCCTGTTTGTTATGTTGATTCCAAGGTTCATGTCCTGGATCCTAGCTGCCAGTGGAAAGAGGGTTTTGTGTTTGTCTCGTCTCCTGATCGTCCACTGTTCCTCCCCCGCTGAGTCCTCTGGGTTTTTGGCTCTATATGTGAGGAGGTTCAGTTTTTATCCAGTAAGCCTGGCTCCAGGGAGGAGACCAGTTTAAAGGTCCTGCATCAAGTTCTGGTTCCACGTCCTGTCTCTGCTACCCTATTCCACTGAACCTCCCCATCTGCACCTGATCGTGTCTGCTCCTGTGCTTGACCACCTGGTCATGCTTCGGACTCTGCTGGACTCTGAACCTGCCAGTAAGCTGTACGACGCCAGGAGGCCTGGATCCTGCCTGTCCCTGTCTGTTCCTGTCTGTTCTGAATCCCTGACCAGAATCGGCTTCCTGCAAGACCTCTGGGACTGCAGCACTTGGGGACATTCTTGGACTGGATTGTTAAACCAGAGTGTCTGTGATTGGGCGGTGCCCCGCCCCCCACCTGCAGTCGCTGCATGCCACAGATCCTAGCAGCTCCCCATTTAGTTTTGTTTTTCTTTAAATAAACGTTTTGAACTTGCCCACTGACTGTCTCTCCTTGAATACTGGGTCCATCTGTCCTCGTTTCAGGACATATAATGTAGAATAGATGAATGGAATAGAATTCAGCCTCATTGTCATTACAAATGTCACAAGCACAAAACAAAGAAATCAACTCTCTGCATTTAACCCATCCCCTTTCCATTTTGTAGCACCCAGGGACCAGTTTGGGGTTAAGGGTCTTGCTCAGGGACCCAGAGTGGCAGTCTGTGGGAGTGGGGCTTGAACGCAGAACCTCTGGACTCCAAGCTCTATCCTTTAACCACAAGGCCACCACTCCCCTAAATGTAATCACTAATGTAAAATGCTGCTTTATTTTCCAATATTAATATGATTTTCTTTCACTTTCCTCATTTGATGGAAGAGTATAACTTTAAGATTCTTTAATTAGCTCTGCAATGCACACAGTACAGACACTTAAATGCCATCTTTTTACACATATTTAGCTACATACTTGGTATTTTCTGCTAATCATCTGTAAGCTGTTACTGTGTTGTATCATTTTAAACATTTTTACTAATGCTTCTCAAATAGCGGCTCTTCTTATCACTGAGGAGGAAAAGCAATAAAATCCCACCACCTGAGGAACCTGCTGCTTCCATCCATTTACAGAAAGACTAAAACAAAAACAACAGCATTGATTTGGGAGATGGATGAATCTAAAGGTCTCCCTCGAAAAAGAGATTTTATCTCAAGGGACTTCCTGGTGAAATAAAGGTTAAATAAAATAAATAAAAATGACTTTCATCTTTTCAGCCTCTATTGCCTTTCCTCTTTATCTAAGGTTGTCAAATTTAAAACTATTCCCACAGCTCCTTCTTTAGATTCCAAAGAGAAAATTGAGTCCTGACAAAAAGTTTGACATTAACAAACTCAGTGGAAAAAAATCGAAATCTAGATAATTCATGCACAAACATGCACAAAATTTCAAACAACAGTAATCACACTGGAAATGATATATATATATATATATATATATATATATATATATATATATATATATATATATATATATATATATATATATATATATATATATATATATATATATATATATATATATATATATATATATATATATATATATATATATATATATATATATATATATATATATATATATATATATAAGGCATTTTTTCTTAAAATAAGTGCATTTGTTATTGGATTGAAGAGGTAAAAGAGACGTTTTGCCAATGGAACAAGACAATTTACACTTAAAATAAGAAAACACAATTGCATTGTTTTATTTCAAGTGCATATTATCTAATTATACCATTTCAAGAGTAAAAATACTCATTCCACTGGCAGACTACTTCATTTAACTACTCAAATTAAGCGTAAATACACTTAATTTAAAACCTTTTCACTTATTACTAGATCGTTTTTACAGTGCATAACTAAAATAATTTGAACATTTAATGTAAGTAATTGCAGTTTGGCTTTAAAGTGTTTATTCATGCTGGATATTTAACTCTTTATTCTTGTTCTGTTAGTCTATGTAAAATAAATAGATGTGATTCATAATTTTTGTAATTACATTTAAATTGACAGAAAGGAGCATTTTTATTAAATGTCAAAATTATTTATTCTGTTTATTTTGATTTTATCACATTCATAAAATATTTATTTTCATTACTTTCTGAGAAAATGTATCCTAATAGATTGACAAAAAAATTGACGTCGAAGCATTTTTGTTAATAAAGCAGATAAAAAATAACCTTTCATTGCTAAAACGTGCAAGGATTTCCATAGAAAAAGTACTTGTGAGTCTAACAATATATTTGTCCCTCTAATAATATTCTTCCCTAATTAATAACGAACACAGAACCAGTCCAGCTCCTGTTTAAATATTCTTCTAATGGTAGCTTGATTCTGATTTCCACTCAGGTTAGAGATCTCGGCTTGATTCGCTGATTCATAAGCCTTTATTTGGTTTTATTGCTTCTCTTTTTTTTGTTCTCTATTTGAAACTGCAAAACTATTTCAGATGCAATCTACTGCCCCCAAATGGAAGACACTGTTGCTGAAACGTAACATTTTCCTTCATTATCTCAGAATTAATGCTGTCTTACCTAATTTGCTTCCAAGCTGAGTCCAGATCGAGGCGTAAAGATGAAGATACTAAACTGAAAGGCAGAAGGTTTTGACATATGGGATATTTTTTGTAGCTTTGTAAAGAGGAAGTTCAAACTGGGCTGACAACTGAATTAATACTGAAAAAGAGTAGAGGGTGTGAGAGTCAGCTTATGGGAGGAAGCGTCCTCTGGTGCGTGACAGTTTGGAAAAAAATATAACCAAAACTATATGTTTTATAAAAAAAATACACCTAAATGATTTAGTTTAGAGGAAAACTCAACAGTATTTTAAAACTAAAACTTTTTTTTCTTTATCAAATCTGATTATACAATATTTACCACCAACAAGTCAAGCGTGAAAGTGAGGTATAATACTTAAATGTGTTAAAATCTTTGGTTTCAGTCGTCACATGTAAATCTCTGTGGGCACTAGGCCGTGTCTGAGTAACTTCTACTTTAAAACGCTTGTCAGTTAATAGATATTTAAGAGCCATTTGCTCTGTGTGTATTAAAGGGTTCAATTGATCCAAATCTAACATACTTACTAAAGTTTTTACTTATTTTTTTCATATAATAACTTTAATGTTTTGACAGATTTCAGTCTGGTCTTGGTAGAGCTGAGGAATCAGCTTTCTAATCTTCTCTGATTGTTGTCACATTATATAATAATCCTGGATTTAAAAAAGTCATAATGTAGTACTTTACTTATAATTCTACTGAAACTTTATTTAAATTTGTGTTACATCCTTCTTATGAGAAACAAGTTTATACATAGAGCTCATTCAGACCCAATTTCTTATACCTTTTTTTCTCCTGCACTGCAAAAATTATTTAGAAGTAAGTAAAAATGTCTTAAATTAGGTGTATTTACCCTTCATTTAAGATCAGGTAAATAAGATTATCTGCCAATGGAATTAGTTTTTTTACTCTTAAAATGAGATAATTAGATAACATGCACTTGAAATTAGACAATGAAATGGTGTTTTCTTATTTTAAGTGTAAATTGTATTGTTACATTAGCAAATTGTCTCTTTTACCTCCTCAATCCAAGAACAAATGCACTTATTTTAAGAAAAAAATGGCTTATATACATATATATTTTGAATTTTTCCCAAAGGCTGGTCCTAAAGTGGTGGACCACAATTTTAACGTTAGAGAGTCAGTTTAAAAGTGTGTTATAACTGAACTTTAGGTTAAGGTTAGGATTTGCAATATAATGAAAATTGTCAGGGTTAGGCATAAATGCTGTAACTAAAATGAATGTAGGTCAATCTAAAGTCCTATATGAATAAATAATGGTTGCACTGCAAAAAAGGAAAATCTATACAAGTTTAATAAACTTGAATTCAGCATTTTGGTCTTGTTACACTTGTTTTTCAATGTATTTTCTTAGTAAGACTGAATATTTTTAAGATTATTTGACTTGTTTTAAGAAAATATTTTTTTTTTATCCTAACTAGATAATACAACTAATTCTGAGCAGCTTTTTTCTTAAAATAGCACACATTGCGAACTGAGTCGTGTTAACATTTAGATTGAGTACATTTTTACTCGTTTTAAGACAAGACAATCCATATTAACCTGTTTTTGTCATGATGGGTCTCTGTGATTAAACCCACATGCAGAACACCACATGAAGCAGGGTAAAAGTTTAACAGTTTATTAAAGATGCAACACAGAGTAAATAAGCACAGGTTCTGGTACTGGTCCGGGACTTGGTTTCACACAGTAATCTGCAGAGAGGGATTGTTTGGTTAGCCAGGTAGCAACGGTGACTTGGCTGAGTTCTAGATCTTGGTTTGTACCTGATGAGGTTCAGATTGTTCAATGGAGAGAGGGAACCAGTTGCGTCCAGAGACTGTTGTTCCAGCAGAGAGAGTTCAGGAACGACAGAGCTTAGCTTCAGGCTAGCGAGGTTCAGACCTTGAGTTGTTCTCCTAGTTCTCCCCTGAGAACTAGCTGGGAGATTCAGGCTGAGGATCTTCAGGTTTGGCTTCCTAGGGCAGGCAGGCAGGCAGGTTTCCAAACATGAGCTCCTCCAGAGCTTCTGAGTTCAGTCGGGTTTTCCTGTGAGCAGAGAGGACAGATACTGATTAGGATCAGGTTGCTCACTAAGCAGACAGAGATTCAAATCACTAGTAGTGGCTCAGGTTCCGCTAACCAAAACTGGTCAACACTCCGGCGCTGAAGACAGGTCTGGTCGCTGCTTAAGTAGGGAGGTCTCCTGATGGGCTGATGATCCTCAGGTGTGTAGGAAGGCTCCAGCTCAGGAGACCCACAGCGCTCTCTGCTGGAGACAGGTGGCAGATCTCCAGATCCCAACAGTTTTAAGAACTGACCCCATCTCATTAAGATATTCCAGCTAATCAACTGTGATTGCATTCAAATTGAAAGGGTCATTGAGATTGTCATTCATGGTTTAGCTTTGAGATTCTGAACCTCACCAGTGGACCATTCACTGTTTGCAGAACAAAGTAAACTACAATACATCATAACTACTGTGCATCATACATATGCTTATTATAATAGAAGCTCTGCCTTAAAGGGGAACGCCATATTTTTTTTACATTTAGCCCTTGATCTTATGTTATTACATCATGTTCTATAAGTTTTGTGTCATTTGGAGCCGTTCTGAAGATATTCCGTTTTGAAGTTTTTGTCAAGTGTGTTTTTCCCATACATTCGCTACACCTAAATAATGAAATTAATTCTAGCTAAGAAAACAGACTAGTTTTAACTCTTTCAATGAACTGGTATCAAGTAGCCTACATTTGCCTTGTTTTTAAGCCTGTTATATGCTTGTTTGGAGCAATAATTGGTTAGAGGTTATTTAATTCTAAGCAATAATGAGTAATAAATGAGAATACATTGCTTAAAATAAGAGAAAAAATCTTAACGAGTAAAGGAAAAAAAAGATTTTTATACTTGATTTAAGTTTTTTTTGGATGCTCACTACCTGGATATTATGTTCTTGTTTTAAGAAATCTTACTAAGTCTCATTTGCTTGCTGCACTGGCAGATTATTTTGCTAAAAATAAGCAATAATTCACTTAAAACACTTTATTTTTTTATTATTTTTTAGAAGGCATTTTTTGTTGTGTGCTGTGTCACATTCATATTTGAAAACTTAGCTTTACATTGAAAAATACTATATTAATAAAACTTACCTTATAATTTGAATGGCAGAGTTAGAGTTTTTCTTGGAGCTTTATATTGAAAGTTAATCATTAAATATCTTCCATTTTCTGCTATTGTACCTATCATTGTATTTTACTGAGAGTGCTCAGAGGTTCTTGGTCTCTGGGTAACAAGGCTTTTTGTTGATTAGATCCAGAAGATATGGGGGTTTTACGTTATATGTTAACATAATGCACCTTTTTGTTAAAAAAAAGTCCAGTCTAACCTAGATTTCAACAATAGAATAACACTAAGAAACAAAGCAGAGTCCAGTCAGATAAAAAGCTGAAACCTAAAATAAGAAAAGAATGGTGACATTTTTGGAAACTAAGACGTGTTTTAACACCACCTAACTGCATGAAAATGATATTAGAAAGTACAAACCCAGACTTTCTGGCATATTCAACATGAATCCTCAATGGCTCTTTCACTATTCTACCATCCGTGGGTATTACAATGAAACTGGAGCCAGAAAGATCCATTGTTAAGAGGATATTGGAGCCTGGAGCTAATGTAGCATTTAAGGAGCTGAAATAAGAGGAAGCAGCAGAAATCTGCAGAATAAAAGTAAGAGAAGCAGCATAGATTCATAGAGACTTTGCCTCGTCCAGAAGGAAGTGAGTTAATATACAACTTTAATGCTTTTTGTCTCCTGATGATATTTTATTGAACATTCCTGTTATTTCAAAGGTAACTAATTATAACAACTTTTCTAACTGTTTTGTTTTGCAGATTCCTTTTTCAGACATATGCTTTTATTATCATAGCCATGAATTTGTTGAGTGTTTGGTTCACGGTTTGCGGCGTTCTGACGATGAGCCAAGCTGCACCAATAAACTCGACAATCACTGGGAGCAAAGGGGGTCTCTGCGACTACAAGCGCCTTCACTGCATCGTTTTACCCGGAGCGTTCTGCCCACAGTGCGACGCTGACGGGAACTTCCTCCCTCAGCAGTGCTCTGGCTCCACCGGATACTGCTGGTGTGTCAATGTGCTCACTGGAGAGGAGATCCCAAACACAAAGACCCCGCCTGGGGTCAGGCCTGTTAGCTGTGGTAAGAACTTCTGTCTAAAAACATCATTAGATTTTTATTTGGCTCTTGATTCGAATAAATCTTATATTTGTTCCCATGTCCTTTAACATATTCTTACTTATGTAAAAGTAAAAAGTAGCCTCCTAAAAGATTACTTAAGAATAAAAATGCATTTTGGTACGAAGGTTAATCATACAGAAGAGGATTAGGGCCACTGAAAATAAAGACTTTTAAATTATATTCCAGTATAATATGGTAAAAAGTCAGAATTTTTTTCGCAGAATTCTTTTTTCCCGTATTAGACTGAAAAAAAATTTAAAAAATCAGTTTGTTTGTTTTCTTTTCAGTGGCCCTAATCGTCTTCCGTATTACGATTTCTTCCATCATGGTCGGAATTTTGAGATTAAAGTCAGAAAAGGTTGTTTTTTTTCCCCACATTATACTGAGATAAAATAAAAAAAAATCAGTTGTTGTTTTTTTTAGTGGCCCATATACTGAGAAACTTACAAATGCATCAGATTTATTTTATGAATTTATAAAATCAGACAGATAAAAATAATCTATTTTTTGTAAGTTGAAGTGATAAAATATACAAATTTATACAAATCCATATTTAATTACATAACTTAGGCAAAAAAAAAAAATCTTCCTAGTGCAAAATTAAACTCATGAAACGTATACTCACATTATGTAGTATACTGCATGTTAGTATGAATTAAAATGTATAATGTATTACCATGGCCTCCATTCATAGACTATGAGCACATAGACGATAGATCAAGACAACAAGCTTGTGTACAAAACAAAAAACTAATTTTTTAGGTTAAAATGTGCTTATTCTTCATTTAGTAAAGTTACTAATGGTAGATAGAATAGCCAAAACATTTACTCAAGTAAGAGAAGCAGCTCTTCATATAAATACTCAAGTAAAGCATGTAAATGCAAGTAAACAAGATACTCAAGTAAATGTTACTCAGTAAATGTAAACAGAATCAAATCACAAAACAACTGAATGGATCTTAAAAGTAAAAAAAATATTACTACAAAAAAATAAAACCAAACCAAAACTTGACTAAAAGATTTAGAGCTACTTTATGTGGTAAAAGTTGAAATGTGTTGCAGCTCAGTACATCTACTGCCCGTATGGCTGGAGCAGCTTCGGCTATCGGTGTTTTCTCTTCATCGACACCCCAAAGACATGGACCGAGGCTGAGGTGGGGGCTGATAAAGCAAAAATAAAACATCAACTTGAGAGTTTGCTTTTGTTGTTACAAGAAAAGCAAAAAAAAAACAAAAACACAGGATGTCTAAAAAACTGCATGGCGTTTCTTTCTCCAGTTTTACTGTCAGTTTGAAGGAGCCAACCTGGCGTCGGTTCACAGTGACGAGGAGAACCACTTCATCCAATCTTTGACCAGAGGAGACACACACAGCTTCCCACAAACCTGGATCGGAGGCAGCGATGCCATACAGGCAGGAAAACCTTTAAAACATAAGCTTAAAACATATCACATTTCTACTGTGACTCTTTTTTTATGATGCAGTTTGTAGCCTGATGAATTTAATTAGATCCACTTATCCTTTTTTAAAAGAGGTGTTTGAAATAAGTGAAACTGCTTTGAGCTCAGATATGCAGTATAGTTTGGTTTCCCAAAGATTTTTATTAATTGAAGTACTTCTTGTTTCAACAGCTTAATTTGTGGATGTGGTCTGATGGCTCCAAGTTCCACTACAAGAACTGGTTTAACGACAACCACGAAAAGAAGGACGCACGCTGCCTGAAGATGAACTATTACTGTAAGGCCTGTCACACACATTCATAAGGTTTAATACATCCGCATCTTAGGACTTTTTCTTGTATTTCCACTTAATTTAGTCACATTTACTAGGAAAATAAGTATTACACTGCAAAAAATAATTTTTTTCTTAAAAAAGTGCAGTTGTTCTTGAATTTTGAAGGTAAAAGAAACATTTTGCCAATGAAACAAGACGATTTACATTTAAAATAAGAATACACGATTGCATTTTCTTATTTCAAGTGCTTTTTATCTAGATATCTAATTTTTAAAGTAAAAATACTCCTTCCATTGGCAGATCATCTCATTTACCCACTCAAATGAATGGTAAATACACTTAATTTAAGACATTTTGGATCATTCCTAGATTGTTTTTGCAGTGTAATAATAAGTATTCGAACACTATGCTATTTTGCAAGTTCTCCCACTTAGAAACTGAGGAGGGTTCTTCCAAAAAAGTGAAAAAAAAAACAATCCACTGGACTTTGTTTCCGTTTTGAGGACGTTTTGTTTCCCATCTAGGAAGCTTTTTCAATTCAAAATCAAAAGAATAGCTTTAAGTTTGAGGTTTTATAAAGTAGCCCATCAAAACCATGTTTTTGTTTGGAAAACATGGAAGGGTCTGAAATCGTCATTGTAGGTGCATATCTAATGTGAGAGATATAACCTAAAAAAATACAGAAATCACACTATATGATTTTTTTTATTATTTGAATATTAACTATTAAAAATAGATCCCGAACTGTTTTATGAATATCTAATTATAGATAGATGTAATTGTAAACTGTAATGTAATTTGTAATGTAATCGTTTGCCACTGTCTTGGCCAGGACTCCCTTGAAAAAGAGATTGTTAATCTCAATGGGACTTTTACTGGTTAAATAAAGGAATAAATAAATAAATAAAAATCATATATTGTGATTTAATTTTTTTTATCGAAGGGGACATGCAGCTATGCAGAACATTTCAGACCCCTCCATGATTTCTAAGTGGGAAAACTTGGAAAATAGCAGGGTGTCCAAATACTTATTTTCCTAAATCTTCATTAAAAGTTAGCGTTCATATAATGACGCTTTGATTCTGGCAATATGAACGATGGGACTATTCAAATGGCAACACAAGGCAAATCTGTAGAAAAACAGTAAGCCGACAGCTAGGTCGGTTAAATAAGTTACTGTATTCCTTGAAATTATAAATTGACTCGTTAATAGTTAAATGCTTCTGCATTAATAACAGGGATAATCTGAAAACATCTTGAAAATGTTAAAAACTTCTTTGTTTGATTTTTCAGATAACCTGAAGTGGTCCGCCGCAGCCTGTAACCAAACTCTGCCTTTTGTTTGTGCAAAAGAAAACTGAGCTCATCTTTATGAAAAGAAAAAAAAGAAACAATTGAGAAAAAACTCAGCCCATGTTACTATAGAGCATATGTCCTGCTGATGGCTGTCTCTCTCTGATCATTAGTTTTTATTTCTTTACCATATTTTGATGTTTTTTATCCTTGCATTCTTTAACCCCTTTAAGCCTGGAGGGTTTCAGGAACAACTTCTGCATGAAATTCCCCATCTGAAATAAATCAAGCGTAACTCCAAAGTTACAAAGTATAAAGTGTTTTATTTGTGTGAAATAAAAGGCATATAGACTAGTTTTTAAGTGTATCTATTGTTGTGAATGTCACCATCTCTGATTTATATTAGATCAAATAAAGCGAAAATAAATATTTTTTTTTACCCACCTGGATGTTATCTGAAATAAACTTTCAGGCTAATGCATCTGTTGGCTTCTGACAAGATGTATTTCTGTGAGTTTCAATACTCAATAATCTCGAGGCAACTAAGCCAGATTTCATGATTACAACCATTTACCCGTTGGGCTAACCTAGGCAGTTGCCTAGGGCCCCAAGTTCCTGGGGGCCCCATAAAACTGTTAACATGTATGCTTAATACAACTATTCACTATTTGTGCACATTATGTTTTTGATAAAAATCATTTTGCTAAAAAGCCATCAGAACGCTTATATTATGTGTGTCTCAACCCTCCGCACCAAATCTTTCATTCTTTTGAGACAGCATGTAAAATCTGCTGAGTACAAAACATAGAGAGGAAAACAACAAGAAAGGGGACAAGAAGAGAGGGACAAGACATAAAACAAATAATTTATGTATATTCTATTAAAATTTCTGTATCGGTATAATGGGTCTGTTTTATGTGTTGTCTTCTCAATTCAGAGGGCCCTGCTGGTTTTTGCCTAGAGCCCCAAATTTCCTAAATCCGCCCCTGATTACACCATAAATGATTACCTACAGAGCTGAAACAAATAGCTTAAAATACCATAAAACAACCTTGTTATACATGACTAAACCTTTAAGCTAAGCGTTCTGGATCACATTAGAAACTTCAATTGTTTCAATTGATTTTTTGTAAAATATATATTTGTTATCTGCAAGCCATTGTGACTTCTAAAGTTAATTGTTAAATCCTACAAAACAGTCACAATAATATTAAAGAGTCTACAGTGATTAATTTCAGATATGCCTTTTTTTGCCTACCAATTGTTTGTATATTTCCTGATGTGCAATAACCTTGTTCTTTTATGTTAGTAGATATTTCACTGTGTCTTTGCTGTATTTTGAGTGGGAATGAAACATATCTTATATAAACATATATGAATTGTTTTTTTTAACTTTATTAATTTATTTTTGTTACTGCAGAATTCCATATATTCAGGTGGGTCCTGCCCCGTAGAGATGCATATCACTTTCATTACCTGTACTGTTTTTCATCCATTGACAGAAGAAACAGATTTGTTACTTGTGTTGGTTAATCACACAATGACTTTCAGTACGGTGTCCAGCTGTGCATCAGCCCAGCCACCTGTCCATCCAGCAGCTACCAACATCCAGGCAACAAAGGCACCTGTCCATTCAACAGCTACCAACATCCAGGCAGCAAAGGCACCTGTCCATTCAACAGCTACCAACATCCAGGCAGCAAAGGCACCTGTCCATTCAACAGCTACCAACATCCAGGCAACAAAGGCACCTGTCCATTCAACAGCTACCAACATCCAGGCAGCAAAGGCACCTGTGTATTCAACAGCTACCGACATCCAGGCAACAAAGGCACCTTTCCATCCAGCAGCTACCAACACCCAGGCAACAAAGGCACCTTTCCATCCAGCAGCAACCAACATACAGGCAACAAAGGCACCTTTCCATCCAGCAGCAACCAACATACAGGCAACAAAGGCACCTGTCCATTCAACAGCTACCAACATCCAGGCAGCAAAGGCACCTGTCCATTCAACAGCTACCAACATCCAGGCAGCAAAGGCACCTGTCCATTCAACAGCTACCAACATCCAGGCAACAAAGGCACCTGTCCATTCAACAGCTACCAACATCCAGGCAGCAAAGGCACCTGTCCATTCAACAGCTACCAACATCCAGGCAGCAAAGGCACCTGTGTATTCAACAGCTACCGACATCCAGGCAACAAAGGCACCTTTCCATCCAGCAGCTACCAACACCCAGGCAACAAAGGCACCTTTCCATCCAGCAGCAACCAACATACAGGCAACAAAGGCACCTTTCCATCCAGCAGCAACCAACATACAGGCAACAAAGGCACCTGTCCATTCAACAGCTACCAACATCCAGGCAGCAAAGGCACCTGTCCATTCAACAGCTACCAACATCCAGGCAGCAAAGGCACCTGTCCATTCAACAGCTACCAACATCCAGGCAGCAAAGGCACCTGTCCATTCAACAGCTACCAACATCCAGGCAGCAAAGGCACCTGTCCATTCAACAGCTACCAACATCCAGGCAGCAAAGGCACCTGTCCATTCAACAGCTACCAACATCCAGGCAGCAAAGGCACCTGTCCATTCAACAGCTACCAACATCCAGGCAACAAAGGCACCTGTCCATTCAACAGCTACCAACATCCAGGCAGCAAAGGCACCTGTGTATTCAACAGCTACCGACATCCAGGCAACAAAGGCACCTTTCCATCCAGCAGCTACCAACACCCAGGCAACAAAGGCACCTTTCCATCCAGCAGCAACCAACATACAGGCAACAAAGGCACCTTTCCATCCAGCAGCAACCAACATACAGGCAACAAAGGCACCTGTCCATTCAACAGCTACCAACATCCAGGCAACAAAGGCACCTGTCCATTCAACAGCTACCAACATCCAGGCAACAAAGGCACCTGTCCATTCAACAGCTACCAACATCCAGGCAACAAAGGCACCTGTCCATCCAGCAGCTACCAACATCCAGGCAACAAAGGCACCTGTCCATCCAGCAGCTACCAACATCCAGGCAACAAAGGCACCTGTCCATCCAGCAGCTACCAACATCCAGGCAACAAAGGCACCTGTCCATTCAACAGCTACCAACATCCAGGCAACAAAGGCACCTGTCCATCCAGCAGCTACCAACATCCAGGCAACAAAGGCACCTGTCCATTCAACAGCTACCAACATCCAGGCAACAAAGGCACCTGTCCATTCAACAGCTACCAACATCCAGGCAACAAAGGCACCTGTCCATTCAACAGCTACCAACATCCAGGCAACAAAGGCACCTGTCCATTCAACAGCTACCAACATACCCCTGTATGTCTAGGGAAGTGGGGGCATAAACATATAGGCAGAAACTGGTAAGTTCTTATAAAATTATTATTTATTTGATAACAAGAGGTGCAAGCAATAAACAAACAAGAGGAGGGTGGGTGAGGGTGCTGTGAAAATAACAAAGTTAAATAAAAGAGATCCTCAAAAGGAGGATTGTACCCAACTACAGATTTAAACCAAAAGGGGATTCTTACTAAAAACACAGAGCACAGCACCCACTACATCTAATGTAACTAACAAAGAAAATACTCAGTGATGCAATCAGTCCAGACTCTGGCCCTACCTCCACCCTCTTTCTAGCATCAAGCTAGTTAAGTTTGCACATTAGCCAAACACAAAAACAACAAAATACTTGACACAAGCTACTAAATACAAACCCCAAATGGGCAACCAAAAAGATAAGTGAGCTACTCCACTAAACAAACAAGCAGCTGCTAACTAGCAATGTTTGGTTCACACGAGGCACACAAGTCAACTGGCTGTGACAAGTAGTGATGGGCTATCTGAAGCCAGGCTTCGAGGCTTGTACCGAGTAATAAGGGGGCGTGTCAATGAAGCCCCGCTTCGAGGCCTGTGTTGTCTTGTTGAAAACCACATGACTGGCAACAAACGAGGCCTCGCATTGCATTGGTCACGTGACTGCTTCATTTTGCGTGTCGGTTTTCAAAATAAAAGCGCGATGAATTCTGTTGCTTCGTGGGTTGTAGTAGGTGGTTTAGTATCAGCAGAACAGTTTTCATCAGCAGTGGTTGAAATGGAGCCGTCAAAAAAGAGAAAAACCTCTCATATGTGGGAGTATTATGAGATGACAGATCACAATCACAACCTGAAACAGTGAAAAAAGTCCTATTCCTAAATAAAAACAATTAAACCTAAAATCCACAAATTTCTATATTTTCTTTTGTTTAATCAGGAGATGCATCAGAATCACACATCAAAACCAGACTAAAAGCCATTAGAAGAGGCAAACTCTATGTTTAACTTAATATTAAGAATCAGAACTAGAACTCCTAGGAAGAGATGATTTTAAACAAATTCTGTCTTTAAGGAAGCAAGTTTCAAGCTCAAAGTATACAGAGTCTGCAGCAACAGTCACTCAGTTCTCAATACATTAAAGTAACACATATCTTCATTGTCTAATAAGTCCATGACATAAAAGAAAACCTAACACCACCACTGATGGTCAAGGATTAGATTGGCTACAAATCATTTTAATCATTAAAACATGACAATTAAATAGGATTCTCTTCTTACTAAACATGAGTTTGATTAAAACTTTGTGACAATATTGCATTTCCTAATATTTGGAAGTATGATCCAACTGAGTAACAAGGCTGTTACAGTTTCACCAGCAGATGTCACTAGTGAGTGATGAATGAAGCATCGAGTAATGAACTTTTTTCAACACTTTGCGTTGGAAAGCTTCGTTGCTTCATGAGGCTTCACTTGCCCATCACTAGTGACAAGCTGCCTCAATCAACAGGTGAGGTCTACTTATGAGCAGGAGGTGATTGCAGGTGGTGATGAGCCATTGGTTAAAGGTGGAACTGAGGGAGCCAATGGATGGGACTCAAGTCAGATCCCCAGAAACCAGGAAGTAGGCGGGTCTTTCAACAGGGCCATGCAGCCACTTAGTAGAGGTGAGAAAGAGGGAAAATAAAGAAAATAAAGGGAAAACACAAATATGACAGCGACAGCCATAACAGATGTTCATTTCTTTAGTGTTTAATCTCTTATACTGCACTGTAATTTTTATGTTTGTGTTTTATTCAGTTTTTATGTTTAACTGTTTCTTCTGTGTTTTATTTATTTTTTTAACTGATTTTATGTAAAGCACTTTGAATTGCCCTGTTGCTGAAATGTGCTATACAAATAAAGCTGCCTTGCCTAATAACATGTAGAACTAAACCTGAGTTCTTCACATTAATAATCTGGTTTTTCAAGTTAGTCTAAGAATTTCTGTTGTGCTATGAGACAAAGCAGCAGTAGATTATTATATGAGTTTATAAATCTATTTGTTGCCAAAATGATTAAGAGCTTTGAGTAAAAATTGTTTGAAGATGTTCAGTTATGCTGAAAAACTAAATATAGGGAACAAAGGAGAGGGGAGGAAAGAATTGATGACCTGTAAATAAGATAATTAAGAAGCGGAAACATCATTATCCTACTGTTCATCTTTTCATTATTGCGAGTCTGAAATTATGGCCAAAAAATCTTAACTATCAACCTCTGCCGGTTTTAGGATTTTTTTTTTTTTTTTCGGAAAACTATTAATGCAAAAGCTTTAGTAAATAAAATGAAGTCTATTAAAGTCTATTATGCAATTAAACTTCTGCTAAATAGTAAGTTTATAAATAATAGTTAGTAATCATGTAATTAAACTTCACACAACAAATTCATCTGCTTACATCAAAAACCAACAAGATTTATTTTAAAGTAGAGTTTATTAAAAGTAGATTACATTTTTTTACCTGACTGCATTTTACAGGAAAAACAAGCTTAATGTAAATTCAGAAGTATTTATCATAACAAATCCAGCAAATTTAAGAACAATCTCATCATGTAGTAAAATTACATACAGTCCACAGTTGATCAGGTTTTCTATACAAAGAAATACAGGTCCTTTTTCCTTTTATTTGAACATAAACATAAATAAAACATAAATAGTTAAGACAGGCAAAAACAAATAAATAAATAAAACTTAATCCCAGAGATTTCACTAAGTTATTCTATAATTAAAAATACCAACATCTTTGTTTAGGAAGCCAGAATGCAGCCTATAGTGAGCATGCTGCATGGTGAGTCATTTGTATTTGGAGACATCTGGCTACATCTAACTTGTGTACATGGGCTCCTCAGCATCCTGTTCAGCAGAATCAATGATCCTCTGAAGGTTTTCGTTTTTCTGTGCTTGCTTCTTAACCTTCTCTAACATCTCTGTATCACCTGATTCCTTCAGGTTATTTACAAACTTTTCAAATATGGTGAGCAGAGGTTTAGCGTACTCAATCACACTCTCTTTATGACCTTCAAACCCATAGGTAAACCCTCCAGTGTGCAACCCAAAAACGTTGCAGTTAGCTTCAAACACTGGAGAGCCAGAAGCACCATGATACATGAAAGTGTTGTAAGTCCCAACATTCATTTGCATTATTTGCTCAATGCCTTGAGATCTAATTGTTTCAACGATAGAAGTGATTGTGAAAAGGGTTCCTTGATAAGGAGCCAGATGATGATTGACAGCCTGTGGTCTATTTTCTGGCTCAATGATGCATGTTGGATCAAGTTTCTTCACTTCTCCTGCTGGGTGGCCAATAATACAGGCCTCACCATTCTTAGGAAGCTCAGTGAAACTTTTCAGCAGCCCTGGAGGGATTTTTATATCTTTTTCTTTTGTCTTTGGATTTAATTTTTCACCCTCAGGTTTGAGCTTGAGTATGGCATAATCTAGGTCCTGATCAATGTCAACGAATGTGTTCTCAGCATAGAAATAATAGCAACGTGTCTCTGGCTGAGGGATGTCGTAGTCAAACAGAGCAGAAACTTTTTTACCAGAGGATAGGACTTTTCCCTCGTGGTGCCCTCTGAACAGGTGGGCATTAGTCAGGATCAGATTGTCAAACAGCACAAAGCCTGTTCCCTGACAAACACCAGAAACAACAATCTTACAGACGGATTTTCCCATTTCCAGCAACTTCTGAAGTCTATAAACTTCACTAAAAGACTGTTGGGTCTTACCAAACTTCTCATGTTTCAAAGCCTTCTGGTAAGATTCAGGAGAAAACCTGCTCTCCATCCACCTTTTCAGTTCTGGGAACTGCTCACGGAGCTGTTTGTAAATCTCCTCACGTTTGGCAACATCCTCACTTTTATCTGAACGTAACTCTTTCAATATATTTCCAACACGTTTTCCACTGTCACGGGCATTTTCCAGATAGGGTCTTGCTTCATGTGTGCTTTGGCACGTCTCTGTTGAACCTGCTTGTTTCTGCTGTTTCTGTTGTTCAGTGGGGGGCTGAAAGTTTCCCTTACTCACATTCTTTCCCTTTGATAGACATATCTTAAGTTCTTTATGATCAAGATCCTCTACATATGTCTTCCATCCATATGTTACTGGTTTGTCGGCGTTATCAGACAACTCAAAGTCCTCTAGTTCACAGAAGCGACCATCTCTTCTCAGAGCCTCTTGTACTTTCATTCCTTTTTCTCCATAAACACAGAGGTACTTAAACTCCTTCACAATAGTGTTTCTAAACTTTTTCTTTGATTTAGCATTTACTCCACCTATTGTATCGATATAGAAGACAGAATAGTCGTCTTTTGGTTGTATTGCTCTGTCATGTTGCTCCTGAACTTCTTCAACTGTTTCTTTTGTACTTGATACACACAGATACTCTTCATCTTTAACTAAACAACAAGGGAAGTGTGTCGCAATCATGTGTTTCTTATCTTCTGTACCAAGCTGAATAATAATTTTATTATCTCTCATTTTCTCAAGTTTATCACCGTGGTCATTCTTTATCGCATCCAGCACTGTGCCTGGTTTCCGACAGGTAACAGGGAATATTTTGTTTGTTGCTTTAAACTTAACATTGAAGCGGTGTTTATGTACCCCCTGTAGTAATTTAGAGGGACAGTTTCAGTATGCAAACTATATATATATATATATATATATATATATATATATATATATATATATATAAATTTACATATAATATTTTGCAGCTCAGTTGTGTGGCATAACTTACCTGTGGTTCTTCTATCTCCTCTTTCTTAATCTCTTTTTCTTCATGGTCTTTGTTTGGATTCTGGTTAAAAATACAGTTGTAAATGTGTGTAACAAGTATACCTGTAACTGAAGTTGCTTGCATTCGAGAGAGAAAAAAGAAATGACATCAAATATACAAAGTAAGACATTTGAAGATGTATTTTGACTTTGTAGGACTTCTTTCACCCTTTGATGACATTTAGCATGTTAAGAAAGGGAAATATTGGGTTCTATTAAAGGTTGCTTTGATTGGTCACCCCATTTTTAAATATTCCTCACACCACTTGACATTTGTCAAAGAGGAAGATTATAAAGGTAGAGTCTGACCGCATTTTACAAGTATTACATTTAAACACAGAGGGAAATATTATTTATAAATGCCTGGTGGACATGTGATAATGACCAAATATACTACACTTTTGCACCCAAACTTCACAGGAGTATTAGGACAGGGAGCTGGAAAAGATTCAATTCCATTAAAATCAGTTCATTTATATAGCACCAATTCACAACAATGTAATCTCAAAGCTCTTTACCAATCAACATTTCAAAGATGGCTAAGAAAAAAGGAAACCATTAACTTCTCAGCACCAATTCTTGATTGTAAAGTATATCCAACAATAATTTTATTTAAGCTGTGAGATTCTGTTGTGAATTCAGTTTAGAGAGAATATCCATGGCTGCTAATAAAACACTGAGAAATTCAAACAAATGGATTTCAGCTATCAGCCTGGATAATGACTAACTGCTCTGCAGCTTCTATGCTGTTACTCACATATTATCCCATTAAGACATATCCTCTCCATAGCTTAGGTCTTACAGATAGAAATGTATCCCAACCAGAAAGAAAACATTTGATTATTGAACTTTAGATGTTTGTCTTCAATATTCTGTTAGTTGATTTGCAATAATCAGATTGATATATTTCCTGTTTTTTAACCTTGCTGGAGCAAGAAGAATATGCTAGTTTAAAGAAAACATACATTTTTTCTGGTGCTGTTGCACAGTCTGTTAATCAATTTGTTTTTCCATTCTGCTTGTAGTCATCATAGAGACCACTTTTGAGAAAGCTTTGTTTTTTCTTTCCTTTTTCTTTTCAAATCAAAGAAATCTGGAGAAACGGTTAGAGACAAAGACAAAATACTTTTTCTAGAATTTTAACACCATCTAACCAGGACTTCTAACGACTTATCCTCCATCTGTCTAAAAGGATACTGGATTACCTCCCCAGCCACTGGTAGGTTTTTAGGACATGGGGTGGTGTGATGACAGGCTGGTCTGTAGACATGGGGTTCCACAGGGAGCTGTGGTGAGATTGTTCCTCTATACTATATCTCATCCTCTATACTATAGACTGCAGCCTGAAAGCTTCAGAAATTTCTTGATGGTTCTGCTATAATCAGTCTCATCACACAAGAGGAGCAGAGACAGCAAGACAGGAGTTAGAGGACTGTTGCAATGTGAACCATCAGTGGTGGATTTCCACAGGTTCATCATCTCAGTAGTAAGGACATATTTTCAGCAGTCTTAGGAGATATCACCTCTCATTTTCCAAATCCAAGCCTCATATAGATAAATATTTAGCACAAGAAAATTAAATGGCAAGCTTTTTATAACATGTAGTAAAATAATGGCAACATGTTAGAGCAAATTACAAACCTTTGAAGTTCCAGCTTCTTCCATCTTTTGTATCTTTGTTGTTTTTTTATTGAACTGCAAAGTGATAGGTAAAAAAACAACATTTGGTTTGAATAGAACTATTCTATTTTCTAGAATAGAAAAAAAAATGCTATAAGAAATTTAGAAATGTGTCCTTTTAATGTAATAGTGTTAAATAGTTTTTATGATCTTTTATCAAAAGAGTATAAGATGGATGTTAGATCTTTCCATATTTCATTCAGCAATTAATTAACATTTAAAAAGCTAAATAATACTTTGAGTGATTAAGGTTATTTAAGAATCTGACCGAAGGCCTGAAACATGAGTTTAGAGATTTATTTAAAGATTAATTAAAGTAGTTCTTTCTTTTAGATTGTGATATATTTAAGAAAGTAAAGTAACGTAAATAAATTATCTTTTATAAACAGTATATCTAACATGGCCAGGAATTAACTGAACTTTGAAGACATTTAGATTCAATATTATGTTAGTAGTTGACAGAGAGCTTGTCAGTAGCAAACCTCATTTAAAACAACACCTTACAACTACAGTTTAATTGTCTGAAATTACAAGAGTAAGTACATATTGGAATAAGGGCCTCAGTTAAGTGTATTAAAAGGGGAGCAGATGGCTGTGGGCTACTCAGTCTTTTCTGTTGAAAAGAGGATGCTGATTCTAAGACAAAGGTCAGCTGAGTCTTATTCCCACAGATTTCATAGAAATACTAAGAAGGGTAATATTTTCAAAACTGTAAAAGCCCCTAACCCTGTAGAAGTAGGAGGTAGGGAAGGGGTTTAGCTAAAGTGACAACAAGAGTATAGTCTTTCATTTTTTTAGTCTAACTCAGAAATTCATCCTAAATGAACAGCTCATGTCTCTGGAAGAATATTTTGACATCTATATCTGAGCTAAGAAACGTCATCACAAACATGATTCATGTATTTGACTAAAAACCAAATGTTTTGCTTTTAAAATCAGACCAGATACCAATAAGGATGAGTTTTAAATCCCAGCAATAAATCAATTTCTTTTTACTTGTAAACAGATTATGGTCTTCATTTGTTTCCAAGAAGATTATAATTTCTGTTTTGATACAAACACAAAGAGTCAGATCATAAACCTGCAGCTCACCTCATCCTCAGGAACTCCAGACATTTTTTTTGGTGTGCTGCTGGAAGTACCTGGAGCTTCCTGAAAAGGGGATGGAATTAGGTCTCCATACTCAGTTATTCAACATTCTGACAAAGCTATAAATATTATGACCAGTTTGCCTGACAATCTTTGCCCCAAATTATTTTCATTAAGGCCCAATTTTGTTTTTTGTTGTTTTGTTTTTATCAGAAAAAAAATGAGCCACCCTATGATAGTAAAGAAGAACTTTCTGTAATTCTCCAGCTTTTGGTAATGCAACACGTGCACTGCACTATGAATAATTACAGAACAGTTTTTATAAGAGGGAAAAATCCGTGTTTTATTGGCCAACAGCCAAATAGTCCCAGAAGAAAATGGACATGCTTTGTTTAACCAAACTTTGATAGAAAACTTTGAATCAATCTGACTGTATTATCTGGTGAATTGCAAAGTGCCTTGAGATGATATGTGTCATGAATTGACGCTGTATAAATAGACTGAATTAAATTGAAATCAGGTTTATAAGTAAAGAAACAAGAGATTTAAATCTTGTATGTCTTTAAATTATGAAAATTATTATCTATAGCTCAATCATGATGAATTTATAATATTAAGCTAGCTATACTGTTAGCTAAAACTGTCATTTTCTGTTTTACATATTTGCAATAAATCCAGTGGTTTAGTTATACATCATATATTCCCCAGGATTCCCCAGGTTTACTGCTTTGGAAAAGTGGGTCAGGTCCATTAAACTGGTCTGTAGTAGGGGTGCCTAAAATAAAACAGGCACCACTATGCTCAAGAAATCTTCAAAAATAATACTGTTCAGTAATGCTTTTTATCCTGGTTTGGCTCCACCAGATTCGTCACCCCAGATATGGGGGTGGGGGCTCAGTCCCCCATGTATTCTGGCCCATGAGACGCCCCTGGTCAATACAATGATAAACAGTGATTAGCTGTGGTCTTACATTTTCCTTCTTCACAAAACTGCTTATCTTAGGCTGTTTCTTGTCTTCCTTTATCTTCTTGGGAGCCATTTATTTCTGTGATCATAGTGATAAAAATTGTGTTAGAAAATTTTGAGCTATTTCAATTAACCTAAATAAGCGCGAAGGACTCACCTGTTGCTTCCAGTAAACAAGGAGAATCTGAAGGCTCTGTTACAAATACATAAAACATGAATATTCAGGTAAAAAACAGACACACAATCACAAATTTCCTATTTTTATGCAGTAATTTAAACAAAAAAAATGTCCAGGTCTTGGCTGATGCATCTGTAATAGACTGACAATCTGTCCAGGGTGGCCTTTTGCCCAAAGACTGTAAATGGGCACAAACCCAAAACACGACCCCAATGGATAAGCAGCAGAAGATGGATGAATGACCAAAGTATGTCCTCACCTGTGTGATATGCTTATTCTTACTGCCTGATGTAAAACAAAAAGCATCTTGGGGATAAAAAAAGATACCTTGAACTGTGATGTACGAAACTGTTCATATGAATCAACAGGTGGAAAGTTAAAGATAAATGTTACTAGTCTTTGAAACTCTGTTTTGCTCAGAGCTAAAAGCAGCATCTACAACAAAGATACAGATCTATTTATATCCTGCTACATTGTGTTGAAAACAAGTTCCACACTGACAGAGATGAAACCGAACACGAAAATATTGTTGAAGGAACAAAGATACACCCCTTGTTAAAATGTCAGCTTGTCCAGATAAAAAAGAAACTGTATTATAATCAGTTTTTTTTCCACCTTTAATGTAAAATACTTTTAAAGGCTATTTTATAGTCAATAACCAGTCCTGAAGTGGAGACACTTGAGAATGATGTGGAAAGGCATCATGATCTTGGCGCTGATGGTTGGCTTTTTCATTTACTCCTGTCACCTGTCTAATTAGCTTGGCAGCTTATTACGCTCATCTTGTCCAGCTGGTTCCTGCTGCTAATTATGCTGCCTGTTTTCCTACTATCTGCGCTAGATTATTCTAGCTGTTTGGTGATAGTAACTCTAGCATTCTTTATATTTGTTCTGAGATTCTGTTTCTGCCTCTGGATACCTGTGTTTTACTTTGCCCTCTTTCTACTCTGTCAGTACCGTTTATTTTGGAATGATTTCCTGGATTCTGCTGGTCAACCAAACTGAACTTTGTTCTTCTGACCTCTGCTTAGATTCCCCTTCAGTACCTCCTCGGCAGTGGTGTCAAAAGTACACACATTTGTTACTTAAGTAGAAGTATAGATACTGCAGTTTAAAAACACTCTGGTAAAAGTTGAAGTATCAACTTGACCTCTTTAGTCAAGTAAAAGTGAAAAAGTATGTGCTCCAAAAACGACTTAAAGTATAAAAGTATAAAGTAACCTTAAAAAAAACAGCCAGATGCCACTATATGAACTGAAAGCTAAATTTTTAACTATTTCTAAAAATTCTCTGAGATAGGGCCAAGGATGAGGGAGGTCTTGTTGGTCTCCATCTCCCGATACGCTCTCGCCTGTGTCCGACCTTTCAGACATTTCAACATATTTTTCTGAATCCTACATTGTAGCATGGCATAGACAATTCACGTTTGCAGTTTGAAGAACACCTGCTTGCTTCTGATGATTTCCTTTAGCTAACCAATGAGTGTTTGCGTTATATGACTCATTCAATGACAATAAAAAATAAGTGGGGTACGAATTAAGAAAATCCACAACCAGTAAAGGTCCGGAGACATTTTGATTATAATTGGTAATTTAAACAGAATTTAACACTTAAATAAAATGAGGTATTTATGCATTCATGTTATACATTGAATAAAAAAAAAAAAAGAAATTGCCAAAGGATGCATACTGTGCTATCTGAGAGGAGTTGACATTTGTATGACTGTATTCCTGTATATCCATCAGTAGTTACAGGACAAGGTTCAGCAAATGCAAATTCTGCCTGTAAAACAATGACAGCGTACTTGTCGCTGTATGATCTGAAGCCTCATTTGGAACTTTTAAAAAGGCTTTTGAAAAACTTTGATAATTTGCTGCTGTAATATCTTAGATTTTTTGGAATAAAAAGCTAGCAGATGTGCATAATCAAAAAATAACTAAAGTACAATTATAGAGCATTCAGTACTATAAGAAAGCCCACACTGTTTCTGAATAAATACATTATTGTATGAGTTAAGTTCTGTTCCGTTTATGCCTCTTTCCTTGTAAGTATGAAAGGTCCCATGCTACCGAATTCAGCTCTGGATATTCCCTCACGGATACTGTTGCCTCCTCAGTGTTGGCTGGCGTCAGCTCTGCTAATCACTCTGAACTCAGAACCAGTTCAGTGACTTTTTGCTGATAGTCGTGATCAGCCTGACATTCCAGTCACTTACCTAAGTTTCTATTGCTACAGAGGATCCGGTTTATCCACCTCAGCTGACGAGCAGCCGCACGCTGTATTGTATTAAATAAAGGCTTGTTTGAAAATGTTTAGATATGTTCTGAGGTCCAGACAAAAGTAGATCTTCTCACAGTCTGATTAATACTGGGGGAACTTCTGGTAAACTTCAGCTGACAGACTCCAACTAAACACTTCAAGAAGTGATTGAGGTTAACTCCTGGTACAAAAAGTATTAGTGTACTAATTAAGTTTATCAAGTTTATAGCAAATAGCTGATGATACAACAACTCATTCCTGTTTAAAGACCTTTATAGCCATGGTTACTAAGCCTCAGAAATGTTCTAAAGCAAATTTGTATTCTGATTAAACATAGAAGATTAGTTAAGAAAAAGTTCTAGAAATGACAAGACATGTCCCTCACCTCTGCTTCCCTCGTTCAGTTCTGTGCAGTTCAGGAAGAGGATGCTTTTTTTTATGTCTTTCTTACAGGTGTACATTTTCTATTGGCTTATGTATCTGATGCAACAGTAAGGTAAAATTTTTGTTCAGGGTGTGCCAAGAAGACAATAACAGCTCAAGGGTGTGACTGAGTTGGAAGAAAACTGGCTCACAATGTCACAAGACATCAAGACTCAGGTTTTTGCAACTTGAATGACAGAAAAAAGTGTGAAACACCAACCCTAAATGCTACATCCAACGCCACTGGGGCGACAGTGGCGTTGGATGTAGGAGTTTGCCCCGAAATCGAAGGGTCGACTTTCATTGTCGTTGTGTCCTTGGGCAAGACACTTCACCTGCATTGTCTACTGATGGTGGTCAGAGGGCCCGGTGGCGCCAGTGTACGGCAGCCCAGCTTCGGTCAGTGAGCCCCAGGGCAGCTGTTAGTGTGTGAATAGGTGAATGAATGTAGTGTAAAGCGCTTTGGTCAAGTCTCCTAACTTGAAAAGAGGCGCTATATAAGTACATGCCATTTACCATAAATGATGTACAGTTCCTGGAAACAAGTTGGAACTGAGAGATAATTAGAAAATGATATCAGCCTTTAAAGCAGTGATTACTCTACATTTCAATGAGGTTTTAAGGGTCTTGCTGAAGAACCCAGAATGTAGACTATGTGGATTGAACCAGATACTTGCAACCTTCTCAGAGCACAAGTGCACTGCTCTAACAACTAGGCCAACATTCCCCAACACTTAGTTTAATACGAAGGCTTTAGCAACTGCAGTAAACATGACTGAAAACTTTCCTTCTATAATTTGGGTTAAAAAAATGCAATAGTGAATAAATCAAAACATGTTCCCCTCCAGGATCCACCACCTTAATGTTTTGGAGAGGTTTCAGTGCCCAGATGATCCCAGAGGCTCTGTTGTCAGGGGCTGAAATGCAAACACATGCCTGGTAGGTCAGAGCTGGGCTCCACCCTGGTGCACTTAGTGCCTAGTAGTTGGGTTCTTTCTTGACCAGGCTGGGCCCATCCCAAAGGAGTGGTGTAAGCCATCCCCCGGTGATCTCCCCACCTGCAGGGGGAACCAGGAGAAACAAGTGAAGAAAGGATTGGGCAGCAGTCAGAAGTGGAGGTCTCGACAACTCAATCCACCGATGCTTAATCTTGCTCTGGGGATGTGAGTTGTCCTCAGGATGGCTGGGCATTCCCTTAGATAGAGGGTGAGAGGCGCAGTCATTTTGGAGAGGCATGGAGTAGAGGTGCTTCTCCACATCAAGGGGTGGTACGGACATCTTTTCTGGATGCTCCCTGAACGCCTCCCTCAGGATGTATTCCAGGCACGTCCCACCAGAAAGAGGGCTAGTAGACGACCCAGGACATGACTGAGGGACTGTTTCTCTCCCTCTGGCCTGGAAGCACCTTAGGGCTTCTCCAAGAGGAGCTGGAGGTGTCTGCAGAGAGGGGGGTTTGGGAATCTTCTGAGACTGCTGCCCCCACGACTCAGATGAAGAAGGAGATGACAAATACATAATACGATGAGACTAAGCATGATGCACAAGAAAACGTAGAGAACACTTAATTTAAAAACACTTTATTAAGAAAGTGCATTAAAAGTGATGTCGGAAAAAAAACAAGCAAAAAACAGCATAAAATTCATCAACCAGGTGAAGTCAAACATGACTAACAATCAGAGGGCAAAAAAAAAGCCAATTGAGGATGCGAAACAGCTCAGCATGGGAGAGCAAGTCTGCCTGGTAGAACTGGTATGACTTTTGAAAACAATAATCTTCAAAGGAATTCAGTAATGAAACTAAAGCAGGTAAAAACAAGTCAAACCCATGGAAATGTTTTTTACTTTAATTTACCAGTACAGAATTTTTATTCAGTTACAGACATTAAATGGAGTCTGATTGAATAAAGAGAAGTACAGTATTTATTACACGTTTTTAGTCTTTATGTAATAGAGGTAACATACATTTTTTTAACAAAGGTTAGAAATGCTTTTTATTGGGTTGTGCTTTAACTTCAAATGATGATAGAACATTAATATCATTTACAATAGAGATAGACGATACATCGGCTGTCAAATAATCAAATAATATGATTCTTTCCTGTGCAGTTTGATATGTGCATGAGTTGGCCCATTCATTATTACATTCAGCAGCCATGCCTTTAGATCAAGTAAAGCGAATGCTTTGCTGTTCCCCTACATTTACTATCCATTGTTAATGTTAAGTATGTTAATCATTAACAATCTTTTTTTTTTCTTTTAATTGAGACTTGGGTCATTTTTTTTTTCTATGACTGTGCCATTTTGATTATGTTAATGCAGGAAAATAAATATCTGCTCTCAGAATTGTCCAAAACATGTCTGCAGCACATAGCGGTGATCAGTTAGACTGATGTTAATGTCAGTATCAAGAAAGTAGTCAGTATCAGTCGATCTCTAGTTTACAATAAAATAATCGCACAGTGCAACAATAAACTGAAGTATAGTTAGAAATAAGCAAAGATCTATGTAGGTTGTTGATTATATTTGATTAAAATGTAGAAATGAAAAAGTAGAAAACAAAAGATATGAATATTGCTGGGAAGAAATTGTGCTAAAATCTCTTAAGCTTTTAAATACTTTGAGCAGCAGCTAAAGGTTGCAGATAAGGTGACTCTTGGACTGGTTGTGTCCACTTATTTTATATTGTGTAGAACAAGATTCGTTGCCAGATTTAGCGTAAATTAATCTGTGGTCCTACCTGACCGAAAAGGGATGGATATAAAGGATGGATGTCATTAATAAACATAGATTGATCCAAATTTAAACTATTTAAAGAAGGACAAAGAGTAGTCCATGACTGATTTGAATGGAATTAGAAAGCAAAAATGTCTCTGTTTCACTATGCTGGAGGAGTGGGGATCAAATTACCTGATTGGTTTTATAGTTTCCTTATTATTTGTTTTGATAAACAAAATAATACTATTAGATATTTACAAACAGCCAAACAGAAACTGTTATTTCACAGAGACATTGATCAGCATGAAAATACCCCAAAACAAATCAGCATCAGCTCAAATTACTTAAATTACTGAGGAGATTGATAAACTGCGTTGTCTGTCCCTCGTTTCTTTGAGACTAATAGAGGATCACTACTTTATCTGTTTTCTGTCCTCCTAAACTATCGTATTCTTTTTTTAATCTTTCATTCATTGTTTTAAATGAATCTGTCCCGCTTACTATATATGCAATGTGGGACTCCAAAAATGATTCTTTACCCGTGCGATCAACATATTTTATTTTGTATTTTCACCCAAAGCAGATTAGTTTTATTTAGTCAACATGTTCCGGTCAGACTCATGAAATTGACAACTAATTGATGCGTAGTTCGACTAAAACACACCTGGGGTCTATCTCAGTCAGATGTGCTATGCAAGCCCCTTTGCGTAAAATTGTGTCGGTTGTGATCATCCCAATTGACTTTCAATGGGCACTAAACGTCACAACCTCATCTGACACGATTTTCTGGCGGATCGGACACTAAATCGGATTCAGTGTGTTCAGTCCTGAATTAAAATGAAACTGATTAAACCAACGTAAGGCACAACTTTACCAACCCCCCAAAACTAATGTGTATGAAGGTAAAATAAAAGTGGTGAAAAACGTGGAGTCTTAACCAGCAACCCAACCAGGATGTTAGTGTCTCTCACCCAATAGTAGAAATAGGGATGGCGGCGATCTTGTTAGGATAAAATTGAGAAATGGACTAAAATGTTTCTTTGGAAGGAAGATTATCTTTGATTAATTTAGGATATTTATTTTATGATGGGTTTTTACTCCTGTTCAAGACTCAGGGGGCAATTTCACTGGATGAAACAAAATCAGCCCAGTAAATTAGTTCTGGTTTTTATTCCTGACAATTACCTTCCTGAATGAAGTATGATGTTCTCTCCATGCATTTACGTCTCTTCCTGGGTACTCTTGGTTTTTCTGACAGTCTAAATGTAAACTAGGAAATGTGTAAGGTATAACCACCCCACTCCCCACCCCACATAAAGGCCTCTCTGTAAAAATGTAGATATTAAGCCAATAAATGGACAATTGTTTGGTTTTTAAAAATAAGTTTCTGAATCTTGTTAGAGTTGTATTTGTAGGGCCACAGCTGTTAAAACTAAATCTGCAGCTCTAGCATTTCTACAGTCAGTCTAATTGACCTCCATTGGTTCAAACTGGAGTATTTTGTCAAGGTGCTGATTCTCTGTCGCTGCCTCCTTCACCTTTTCCAGCATCTGAACATTTCCACTTTCCTTCAGATTGCTCACAAACTTTTCAAATATAGTGAGCAGAGGATAAGCGTACTCAATAACGCTGCCTTTCATGTGTGGGAGCTCATAACAATAACCTGCTGTGTGAAGCCCAAAGAGCATGCCATGGGCATCAAACACTGGAGAGCCAGATGCTCCGTGATACATGAAGGTGTGGTAGGTAGCCACCTTTTCTGCTTTGTCTCCACCCATCATTATGTCCTCAATGCCTCGATTCTGGATTTGAAACACTGATTGGAGGATGAACATCGAATCTTTGTGTTTGGCTATATGATCATTGACAGCTTGTTCTCTCCCCTTTGGCTCAATGATGCATGTTGGATCAATTTTCTTTACTCCTCCTGCTGGGTGGCCAATAATACAGGCCTCCCCATTTATAGGAAGAGGACCAAATTTGTTGAGCAGCCCTGGAGGAACTTTTACATTATCTACGTTCGTTTTGGGGTTGGATTTTTGGCCCCCTGGTTCGAGCACCAGTATTGCATAATCTAGCTCATCATCAATGTCGATAAATGTTTTCTCAGCAGAGAAATAAAAGTAATTTGTCTCTGGCTCAGGATCATCATAGTTAAATAGAGCAGAGACGTTTATATGATCCAAAATGTTTTTTCCTTGAACGCATCCTTTGAACAAATGTGCACTGGTCAAGATCAACCTATCAAACAGCACAAAGCCAGTTCCCTGGGAAAAACCAGAAATAATGACTTTACAGACAGACTGGCCCATTTTCAGCAACTTCCTGATTCTATGAACTTCGCTGAAAGACTGTTGGATCTTTCCAAAATTCTCATTCTTAAGTTTGAGAGCTTCTTTGTAGGTATCAGCAGGGAATCTCTTCTCCATCCATTCTTTAAGATCTGGGAACTGCTGACGCAGCAGTTGGTAAATCTCAGCAGTGTTAACACTGCTGGTGGGCTCTTCCATTACTTTTCTAACACTTTTTCCACTGTTACGAGCAACATCTAGGATTGACCTCATTTGTGTTTCAACATTTTCCCATTTATTGAGCGGAAGACGTATCTTGAAAGCCTTCTGGTGGAGGCTGTCTACCCTTTGTGTGCGAAGAGTGAGGACGTCTGGGTTTTCGTTATCAGACAGGGTAAATTCTCCAAGATTGTCAATGAACCGACCATCGCGCTTCAGAGCCTCTTCCACCGTCATCCCCTTTTCCCCATAAACGCAGAGATACTTGAATTGCTTAATCATTTTGCTTCTGAACAAATCCTTTGTTTTGGTTTTGAGACCCCCAACTTTATCAATGAAGAAGACGGAATAATTCTCTTTTGGCAGTATGGTTTTGTCATGCTGATCTTGAACTTCTTCAATCTTTTCTGATTTACTATGATTAATAATTAGTGTCTCCCCATCACCAACACAAGAACAAGGGAAATGTGTTGGAACCACGGAGTCCTTGTCCTCTTTACCCAACTGAATGATGATGTTCTCATCTGGAAAATTCAGCATATTTGTTGGGCCAAGACTGTGTTTGATTGCCTCCAAGACTGAACGTGGTTGATCGCAATCGATGGTGTACTCTTTACGATCTGTCGGTTTAAATTTTACTGTGAAATGATGGGAATGTGTCGTCTGCAAAAAATCAGAGTGAGGATGATTATGTTTCATGTTTTTAATTAATTCAACTGATTCATGTTTTCAAATGAAAATTCTTTGTGTTCTTTGAAGATATTATACTCACCGGGGGATCATTTCCATTCTCATCCTTCACTCTCAGTGGTGTTCTTAAAGGAGTCTAAGGAATTAAAATAAAAGAAAAAAATTAAAGAGTTGTAGTTACATTTCTAATATTAGTTTCAGAGTTATGCAAAGCTAAAAAAGAATTTAATCAACCATGGAAAAAAATACATTTTAATCATAGAAGCATGAAGGACTGACGCAACATATAGGTTTATTTTGTGAGTATCCTTAAAATGGTACACCTAACAGAAGGGGCATAAGTATATGCCCTAAGGAACAGGTGCCTGAGAGCTCAGAAGAGAGCCTTGGGCAATGCAAAGACAATGCACTGGGACGTGGCCTTAGCAGAGACACAGAAAACACACCAAGAAGTTCAGCACCCACCCATATGGTGTATCAGAGACCCCATAGGCAACCACTGACAGACTGCCACTTGTTTACGAGTGGGAGTCAGGACAGAACGCTGCACCCCTTAAGCACAACCATGAGCCTTGTTGTTTAGCCATATGCCTGTGGTGGTGTAAAATGTTGTGATAAGTGCAGATGTGTAGGTTTAATGCACATTAAACGATTAAATCTGATGACACAGCCATTGTGGGGTGTATCAAGGACAACAGAGATGAGTAGTACAGGAGTCTGGTGGGGAACTTTGCCAGCTGGTGGTGCACCAACCACCTGAAAGTCAACATCTCAAGGAGCTGGTCATATACTTTGGGAGGAGCGGACCAAAGACTAAGCCGGTACTACTTGAGGGGGCTGAGGTGGAGGCTGTGGATTAGGGCTGCAACAACGAATCGATAAAATCGATAAAAATCGACTTTTAAAAGCGTTGGCAACGAATTTAATCATCGATTAGTTGTGTCGCGCGATTAATGCGTCATCCGCCGCCGCCGTCATCCGGGGGAAGAAAAAAAAATATGGCGGAGCGAGTCAGCGCAGCAGTTGCAGTGTTGCCAACTCAGCGACTTTTCAGATCCCTCCAGCGACTATTTTTCAAAAAAGCGACTAGCGACAAATCTGGCGACTTTTTACGGTGTCACTGGCGGCTTTTGCCTGCCGTGGGGCGCCTCCCCCATCCCAACCCCTTTCTCCCTCTCCCACAGGAATCCCTCTTAGCTCAGCAGTCTGGACGCTGAGTTTACCCTCAGCGTCCAGACTGCAAATGAAGCGCGCATGCGCCAGGATTGACGGCGCAAATTGATCACAATAATTAAAATAGCCTGCGCTTTGTAAAGTGAAAAAAGTCGTAACATGCAACTTTTGTAAAAACAAATGAACATGGCACGGAAGCACCACTGTTATGACGCAGCACCTGAAAAGAAAACACGTTGGAGCCTTCAATGGCAGTGAAGAGAGCTGATCAGCAGGATGAGTAACCATGTTTGTTTGGTTTTAAAGTGGGGAAATGTAACGTTAGTTTCTCAGGTAGCTCATCTGATGCTTTCCTTACCTTGTTAGTAGGTTACAGACAGTGATAAGGTTGGCTTCTTATTTTACTTTTAATTTCATTTGAATTAGCTTAAGCAGCGTTTATATTTTCTTTATAAATAAATTAACTTGTAAATTATGAGGGCAAGGCTTTTAAAGTTTAAATCTTCTGGCAAAGATAAAGTAAAGATCCTGCAATTTATGGAAGTAAAGCAGAATAAAATCCAGCAAGATCAGTAATATGTCAATTAATTATCTGCCACATTCCCATGTAAATATCTGTCTTTGGAGGATGTGTTTTTTACCACCCCTAGTTCTCTCATTTTTATTCCAAATACAATTTATAATTTGAATCACAGGGCTATTTTTATCTCTATGGTTCAGTATTTTCTCAAGCAGCAACTTTAACTGCTATACTTTCCTGTCTTAAAAGGCAGAACTCTTCTAGCCTAAAAAAAACCTCATTTGTTGAAATGGGGGGGCCTATTGTTTGAACCCCTTAGGGGCTTTAAAAAACAAAAATGTCTTTTTTTGCACTTTATGAAACAAAGTACCCTATATTTTGTGGATGTACAGCTACATTTCTCATGTAAGTTTGCGTAGTTTTAACACAAACATTTATTTTTCATATTGCACCAGTACAGTTAATGAGCAACCTGTACTTGTGTGCTTGTTTGTTCTGTCTAAAATGCTTATTTTGGAATAAAGAGGTTAATATAAAAAATATTTTTCGTCCGATTCATCGATTAATCGAAAAAATAATCGGCCGATTCATCGATTTTTAAAATAATCGTTAGTTGCAGCCCTACTGTGGATCCATACAAATACACCGAAAAAAATATTGCAACTGCTTTTGGCATTTATATAATCACATGCAGTTACTTTAAGACAATTGTTTTATGTCCTACCCTACTAACATAAAAAAAATGTGTTAAAGTAACTAAATATGATCAAGTAAATGCAAGAAATGGTTGCACACCTAATCAGGAATACCTATGGTTAACTATACTTATTTAAATGGACAGTACATCTCTGCAGCACAAGTGCAATAATCCAAGTCAACTCCAATGTAGTCTTCCCTTAGTGCAGTGCAGATAGTTTTATATTTAAAGGAAATATATTTCAGGACATTACACATTTTTTCTTTTTTTTTAATGCTTTTTTGTACTATACACTCTTTTTTTATATTGTCTGTCGTATCTTTAAAGGCATCTTGCTTTACCTCGTACTCTATATAAGCTACTGGATCCAAAATTTACCTGAAGGACTAATCCCAAGGGATAAAGTTGAGTCTAAGTCTTTAAAAGTGCATAGTCATATTATATGCTAATACAAATGAAAACCAAAAGCAATTTGATAATAAAAGATTACACCAAAGGTCCATCCTAATGGTGCTTTGAAAGCTAATTTTCAGCCTAGATTTTCAGCACTGGGCACAATAAGAAAACATAAAAAGACATGGTGCCATCTGCTGGCAGTACCATGGAACTATAAGAACATTATTTGGCAACATCTGACAGAGGTAGCATTACTATCACCAGTATCAGTATTACTTTTACTCATGAATCCATGGAGGTCACTTTTACATTTTGTCAGTGTCTCACCCCATGAGGTAGCATGAGGTTGTGTCTACAAATATGAGAGATCACTTAGGTAGTGCAGTCTAATTTAAGATGGAAAACCAGTGCCGGCTGTGACAATGAGTTTTGCTTTGTCTATCAGCAATATCCAGGGGTCTGGTTCCATCTATTAGAACTTTTTTTAGGCTTCATCTTCACCTGCTGCCCAGTGATTTCACCTAAAGATACATTGATCCACTACCATTCAAGAAATAAACCCATAATGTTATCATAGTCACAACAGAATATTGCAAGCTGTCCTGATATGTAGGATATTAGTTTTAGGTCTCTGTATGACCGGTGTCAGAGCCTGGTCCGCATTGCTGGCAGTAAGTTGGACTAATTTCCGGTGCGGGTTCATCAGGGCGTGATCTACAGCTCTCACTGGAGCGGTTCGCAGCCGAGTGTGAAGCAGCCTGGATGAGGATCAGTGCCTCGAAATCCAAGACCAAGGTCCTGAGCCAAAAAAAGGTGGAGTGCCTTCTCTGGGTTGGGGAGGATGTACTGCCCCTAGTGGAGGAGTTTAATTATCTTTGGGTGTCTTGTTCACAAATGAGGGGAAGATGGAGCGGGAGATCGATAGGTGGATTGGTGCGGCATCTGCTGTGAAGCGTGGTCTGTTGTGCTGAAGAGAGAGCTGAGCCAAGAAGCAAAGCTCTTGATTTACTGGTCGATCTACATTCCTACCCTCATCTACGGTCATGAGCTTTGGATCATGACCGGATGAAAGAGATCCCGAATACAAGCAGCTGAAAAGAGTTTTCTCCATAGTGTGTCTGGACTCTCCCCTTTAGAGATAGGGTGAGGAGCTCAGTCAACCGGGGAGGACTCGGGGTAGAAACGCTGCTCCTCCACATCGAGAGGAGCAAGTTGAGGTGGCTTAGGCATCTGGTTAGGATGCCTCCTGGACGTCTCCCTGGTGAGGTGCTCCAGGCACGTCCACCGGGAGGAAGCCCAGGGGGAGACCCAGGAAACGCTGGAGGAACTATGTTTCTCGGCTGGCCTAGGAGTGCCTTGGGATTCCCCAGGAGGAGCTGGCCCAAGTGGCTGAGGAGAGGGACGTCTGAGCCTCCCTACTGAAGCTGCTCCCCCTGCGACCGGGCGAGCAGAAGAAGATGGATGGATAAACCTGCCTTTCTTCTTCGAATACTTGGTTTTTTGTTCTGACCTTGACAGAATAATCTGGCTGAACTTGGACCCATCGGCAGACAAACGGTGGCATTCTGGTGTAGAAAATTCCATTTCCCAACTCAAATCAGGCATGCGGGAAATTCTAGTGCACTTTGGCAATCAGGGAACTCACGCTCCCACTCTTCCACCTACGACAACATCTGCATCTATGTCACCTGATGTCAGTCCGGTTTGTCAGGAGCTGCATCTTTTACCCCCTGAACTGTTTAAGGGTAAACCAGATTAGTGTTGGGCTTTCCTCAACCAATCTGAAATTAATTTTGAGCTTCAGCCTTCTGCATATCCTACTGACAGGGCTATGGTAGCCTACACTATCTCACTATTAGCTAGTAAAGTGAAGTTGTGGGGAACTTCTGAATGGCAGAACAATCCTGTATTGCTCTTAACATGCTTTTTCTCATAAAATAATGAAAGTTTTTGGCCCAGTTCTTCCCAGAAGAGAGGCTTTGAGAGGACTTCAGTCACTTAGGCAATAGTATATTACTCAATAATATACTCTGAGAGTACCTGGAACAAGCCACGTTTTTTTACTTCCCGATTTAGTCAGATTTTTGTCATAGTTTTGTGCAGAAAATATATATAAATAATTCACTAGATCCATTACACACATTAGGTTTTAAAAACAAACCAACAAACTAAATGGAAATTTAAAGACCAAAATTCATGAATCTGATTATAAATACCTTTCTTAAACACATCATTTCTGAAATAGCTTTTTCTTTTTGCTTTACCTACTCCATTCACCTTTTGTGTGACCCTTCTGGTCCTTGAGCATTGAAAACTCAATTAAAGCAATGACAGCTGCTCTTCGGTTGTAAACAGCTTTCTAATTTGTTCTACCAAGCCGCAGTTGGATCAGAAGACCATGATTAAGAAGCGGTAGGGGGAGCGGTTCATGACACTGCAGTCTGACCACTATATATATCACTGCAAATTACACACTGTAGCTTTAAAGCATTTCTTTATTTCAAGGTTTACTATACATTTTCACACGGGGAAAGTTAATATATTCTTAATTTGTACTTGTGTATTAAAACCAGAGTGGACTGCAGGAGTTTGTTATAAGATTCCAAACCATTTCTTGCAGCATAAAGGTTTCTTCCTGATCTTTTTGGATTCCTGTCCCAAACACAATAAGAGGGAATGGCACAGGATACCCAACCGACACAAGCCCAATAAGCTCACTAGGACTGAACTACTGTTAGTGTCCATGGATGCACGCAGCCCACTAGAGTATGAATTCCCTGTTTGTCTTTTGTACTGTATTTATAATTTGTTCTTTTGAAGAACAAACGGTGGAGATAAAAAATAACTTAAAGTTGTGTAATGGCTATACAGAAAAAAATGTCACTCTCAAGTTTATTTACATGGCACTAATTCACAACAATAATCATTGTAGTGGCAATTCTTAAAACACCAATAGATCAGATAAAAATGAAGAAAAATTACACAGACAAAAATGTAAAAATTTACACATTTTAAGTCCTAACCATAATACAGAGGAATCAAGCTCAGTTTAAGAAGCCAATTGATGAAATGTTTTCTGTATCCATGAAAAATGTATTTGAATGCTTAATTGCAAGATCGTGATAAGTTATGTTTGTTATCACTAAACCTTGAGCTCACCTCAGACTCTGGCACCTTCTTTGGCTTCCTTGCAGGTGTTTTGATGGAACTGCCAGGAACATTCTGATAAAGAAGACAAAGGATAAAAAAATAAAAATAAAAAAAAGATTTTCAGTTGAAATTCAATCATCAAAAATGTTGAGGTGGAAAATATTAGGCCATGTTTGATGAAACTTCTGAATAACCAGTCTCTTACTGACATTTTCCTTCTCAAAGAAGCTTCTGATATCCTTCATGTGTTCTGCTGTCTTGCGCCTTTTTGGAGCCATTTCCACCTGATGTGACGACAATAAAAATGGAACTGTGAGAAAATGTCCTGATTTAGGAGATCAAACTTGGATGTTAGTTGCGTTAAACTGATATTTCACTATACTTTCCCTTTTGATTAAGTGGGACTTATGTTACCCTGAGCTACCTCAGTAGTCATGCTGCTATAGGCTTAGGCCCCGTCCACACGAAGTCAAACCCTGGCCTAAACGCACAAATTTTTCACCAAACCAGCCTCTCATCCATACGAAGCCGGCGTTTCGGGGGTCTGTAAATGATCTTTTTTTTATTCAGCCTTCAGAGTTGGAAGATTTTGAAACCCCTTTTCGCGTTTCCATCTTTAAGCTCTAACCGCATTTTTTTTTTTTTTTTTTTTTACACGCATGCGTCATAGCGTTGCCTCTAAACACGCATGCGCGACACAGTATCACAACAACAATGGCACCGTACTGTGTTGAATGGTTGCTGCTCATGCTACTCACCCTGCTGTCGGGCTTACAACAGAATCTTCTTCTTCTGGAATATCTCCAGGAAGAACAGAGCAATTTTGACGACATAGTTCAGCACCTGAATTTGACTGAACCACAAAAATGGACACGCAGGGCCATTTTCCGGTTTGGTTGTTGTATAAATATTACTGCGCATGCCCAACATTTCGTTGCCAGTTTTCGCCTATTTTTGCTTTGGCACCACAGCGCCACTTACAGGCCTGGCATACATTTTGCAGCGTTTTCATGCATTCGTGTGGTCGATCACATTTATTTTACGTCTCCGTCTTTACGACAAACGTTCTGGAAAATATTAGCTTTTCGTTTGACTTCGTGTGGACGGGGTCTTAAGCTGCAGGAAAGACACAGCCAGGCAGACAAGCTCAAAAGCGATTCTCATTAAGAGAGCACATACAGTTAGTCACAGTAAAATAAACAGAACTACATTAAAACAGGCAAAGACTCAACATGTATAAACAGATATGTTGATGGTTGCAGCAGTGCGAATATTTAAATTCATGATGAAGTAAAAGCAGAATGGAATAATAGAGATAGAATGAAGTAAAATGAGGAAAAGTGGTACCCAAGTCCTCCAGCAGTCAAAGCCTATAGCAGCATAAAAATTGAAAATGGCTCAGGATAACCTTACTATTGTTAATGAGGTATTGGAAAAGTGGAGCAAAAGAGAAACGTCCCTCTGGGAAAAATTCTCCCCCACCGAAAAAACATACTTTATTTAAATGAAATTTTCAATATGGATTTTAATTATTTTCACTTTAGATCCTAAAATATCCTATTAGGGATGAAAAACCTTAGCTCAGGTTTTACCTTTCTATCCGTTTTAGTTTTATAACCAAGCTTATTAAGTTTTGTCCGTGTTGCAAAAAAAAAAAAAGGAGGAACCGCCCTTTACTGGAGCCAACAGGAGCCTAAAAATCCATAGCTAAGCATGAACTTGTCCAGCCACTCCCTTTTTAACCGCCCTGGTTACTTAAATAAAAAGGAAACCAAGTCCAGTGGATCGTTTTTTTCTAAACTTTTACAGAATGACTATGACCTGGATGACTGAGAATCTTCATCAGCTTAAATAAAAAGAATATTCCATTATGAAGACAATTCCCCACCATTTTAATTCAATTGCACTGTTGAACTATTTTGTTGTTAAACATGCTTAGTCTTTACTCACCGTTTTTTTTTTTTTTTTTTTTACCGTGGATTCCTCGACAAATTGATCCTAATAACTGTTTAAATGAGAAAGAGGACACCAAAGGTGAAAAAAGATAAGATAAAGATGGTCTGCAGGTACAGAGAGGAACCCGGTGGACCTTTCTGCACAGATTCCACTGTGACCTCTAAGCCCCTCTGACTCAGCTCCAACTGCGCCTACCCGGAGCTGCAGGGAGATTTATAAAATGGCGCTGCGTGATAAAAGCCAATCAGCAACGTAGGGCGTTGCGTTCAAATACTAGTGAGAATTTTGGATATTGGCAAAACAAACGCCCTTACAGCGCGCGGGAAACTTCAAGCACAACCCTGAAAAGGGCTATTCCCTCCCTCCCTCCCAACAGTGTTAATGATAACTGATTTATATTTTATGGTCCGTGGTCGATATGATTCTAAGTCAGATCGAGTTGTGGCTTTTATACATTAACTCCATTCTCTCATGTCAGTCACTGGTCGTTGAGAAAAATGCACAGCCATTCGGCTTCATTCTTAACTCGCAATTTGATTGGTCGGGTTGTTTCTCAAGCTGTAACAAACCACAGAAAAAATAAAAACATCAGAACCTCATCCTGAACGTTTCCTTAACTACATCTTATTTCCCAGGATTAGTATAAAATAGTTTTATTTGTAACCGGGTAGTTTATTAGCTGAAAATAGTGTTTACATAAAATAGCTGTAGATTCCAACCCGTTTCGAGTCCCTTGAATGCATCACTGCCCCGTTTTCTCCACCTTCACAGCAGGCTCGGACTGGGACCGATTTTTACCCCTGACATTTTTCCAGCTACACTGACCCTGTTATGGAACCTTATTGGGTTTTCAATTTAGTATAAAAAGTCTATTTTTAATTGTAAAAGAATGTTTAAATCAAATATATTTTGTACACTATTGCTGTTTGATAATTTTTAAGCCAGACCTACCTATGTAGGGGAGACCGGGGCTAGTTGTCACACGGGTAAGTTGTCACATTGCAATTATCTTCTCCACCAGGGGGCGCAACTAAAAAGTGGAATATTAGTTTTCTTCCTTTACATGGTCAGGTCTCACGGACTGAGTGAAAAGAGGACAAGACGTTGTAAGTTGAGATGAGCACCAATTGACCATTTTCCACTACCCAAAGTAAAAAATATTAACTCTATATTATTTTAAATAACCTTCATTCAGATAAGAATTCTAACAGTTAAACATATGGACTTGTTAAAGTAGATATTAAGGCATACAGTCATACCTCAGTCATTATTGTGATTTAGCCTAACGTTAAGCTAGTGCAATAATTAGCTAACATGGTCATTTGGGGCAACTTGTCACAGTCATTTTGGGGTAAGTTGTCACATGTGACAATTTACCCCAAAAATAATTTTCAAAAATAATTTAAATCAATACATCCTAATAAAACTTTTACTTTATCTTTACAGAAAAAGAGTGATTTAAAAGAGAAGACAAAGTTAGAAGATGGTCAGGAGTTATAAAAGAAAAACAGAGCATGGCCGTGCAGCACCTGACATGATGCTGCGGGCAGTCAGGCAGGTGACCCTAGGTCACAAGTCAATCAGGAGTACCGCAAAGGACTTTAATATCAATTACTGTACTTTGGCACGATACTGTAAAACATTCACACCAGCAGAAATTCAGGGTCAGACAGCTATCCCAACTACAGTGGTTGGGTACAAATCGCCACGGCAAGTTTTCAGCACTGAGATGGAACTGCAGCTGGAGAACTACATCAAGAGATCCTCTGACATATATTTTGGTTTGTCTCCATCAAAGGTGAGAAAGCTGGCATATGAATTTGCAGTGGCAAACGGCTTGAAATTTCCGCAAATTTGGTCAGATAACGAAAAAGCCAGCACTGATTGGTTTACAGGCTTCCTAAAGCGGCACCCCTCGCTTTCTCTTAGGAAACCAGAGGCAACTAGTCTTGCCAGAGCTAGTGCGTTTAACAAGGAGAATGTAAGGTGTTTTTTTGACAATCTGGAAAAAGTATTGACCCGACATTCCTTAGGTCCAGGAGATATCTGGAACATGGATGAAACTGGAGTGACAACAGTACAGAAACCAGACCGATTGGTAGCCAGGCGTGGCTTCAAGCAGGTTGGGTCAGTGACATCTGGGGAAAGGGGTACCCTGGTCACCCTTGCCTGTGCAGTCTCAGCCACAGGGAACAGCATCCCTCCCTATTTCATATTTCCTCGGGTGCACTTTCGTGATCATTTCATCAACAATGGCCCACCAAGCTGCAAAGGAGGAGCAAATCCAACAGGGTGGATGAAAGAATCACACTTTGTTGACTTCCTCAAGCATTTTGTTGACCATTCCAAGTGCTCAAAGGAGAAACCCTGCTTACTCCTTCTGGATAACCACTGCTCACATCTCTCTGTTGATGGGCTGAATTTTGCCAAAGAAAACGGCATCATCATGTTGTCCTTCCCACCCCACTGCTCCCACAGGCTGCAGCCTTTAGACAGAAGTGTTTATGGCCCATTTAAAAAGCATGTAAACTCTGTCTCTGATTCCTGGATGAGGAACAACCCAGGGAAAACACTCAGCATTTATGACATCCCTGGGATTGTAGCAATTGCTTATCCCCTGGCTGCAACACCACTTAATATTCAGGCTGGTTTTCGGGCAACAGGGATTCATCCTTACAATAGGGATGTGTTCTTGGAGACAGAATTTGCAGCATCTTACGTCTCAGATCGCCCCTACCAGGACCCAGCTCTACCAAACCCAAACACCTTCCCACCCATTCCTGGACCCAGCACTGGCCCAGCTGCTCCAGGCCCAGGCACCAACCAAGAAGCTTTTCAAGGCCCTAGTGACCCAGCATCCTCCACTAGCACATTTACTCCAGAGGATATTAGGCCTTATCCAAAAGCTGGTCCAAGAAAAAAAGTTGCACAGAAGAAAAAGAGAAAAACTTCTATTCTCACTGACACACCTGAGAAGGAGGCACTTGAAGCTGAAAGGCAGGCACAAGTAAAGAAACGACTGTTCAAAAAGAAATGCAAGGCAACCAAATCTAAAATGTCAAAGAAGCAAAGCACAGGAAAGAAACAGAGGACAACAAGAAAAACTCCAGACGACTCCTCATCAGAAGATGAGTCCCTGTGCCTGGTCTGCATAGAGCCATTTGAAAACAGCCGCCCAGGAGAAACATGGGTTCAGTGCATTATATGCAAAGGATGAGCACATGAAGAATGCACACCTGGCAATTCAGTCTACATATGCCAAAACTGTAACTCAGATGAGGATTGTGACTAATAAATTCAGGTTTTTTTGGGTTTTCCTTTGTCCCAGAATCAGTTTTATAATCAATGTTTTATAATCAATGTTTCATAATATTTTATTTTATTTCATGTTATTTCATATGATGCATGTGCTCCTGCCAATTCAACCTACATAAGCTATGCCCAAACTGCAGCTCAGTTGAGGAGTCTGACTCGTGAAATTTCCTTTTGTTCATGCACCAGTTGAAGTTTGGTAATGCTTGTTGCATATTATTTCATAAGCAGTAAAAGTGATTTATTGTCATTTGTTCACTTAACATTAAAAAAATAACAAAATTAATTTTTGCCATTATTTTATTGGTTGCAAAACCCAGTGTGACATCTTACCCCATATAGTGTGACAACTTACCCTGTGGAGGGGCAACTTGTCACATGGTGACAATCTCCATTATATCACTTATAACTCTGCACAGTAATAAGATATAAAATGACCTGAATATAAAATATATACCTGAGACTTTGGTCTTTCATCTGATACATATGCTTTTTATATAAGGTGTTCTGATTCCAATATTTTTATATGAATGTAAAAAGTGTGACAACTAGCCCCGGTCTCCCCTACTTTTAATTAGGAGACCTGGCTTTAGGGCCACATCCTCTGTCACAATCTGGGTTTTTCCCACATCCTACATATTTTTAAGAAGAAATTGTGCTTTTTAAATTATATTAGTTCATAGAATAAACATTATTTAGAGACTTCATGCATGCAATCAGCCTGTCTCATGGTGCACAGTGTGCACTAACAATTTAGCAGCCCCAGGAAATGCTTCATATCCATATAACTATTGTTTGCTTTCAAATACATTTTTATTGATTCCTCTATTAAAAATCTAAAGCATTAAAATTCCCAAAAAGTGACACATTAACAGGCATTTATTGTAAATCTAATATCTCTACCTTGTTTTCAAAGGAATTCCTGCAATTTTTGTTTTACTTAAAAATAACAGAAATTTCCAGGCTGAGATTCTCTACATTGTAGGAACAGCAACCTTCAAAGTATGAATACAGAAGATCACAGTGGTTTACTGGCATCTGTTAGACTTTCAAAATAAAATATAACACCATGAGGAATTCATAGGGATGAATGGAAACAGCTTTAAAGCAAATGGGGAACTAAATCTATGGGTGGTTCTATATAAGGACCAACAAGGCCCTGCATGGCCCCTGTACTGGAAACATACTGCAATAATTCAAATATAAGTAAGTATTTCCCTAATTAGAGTAGATAGGTGAGACAATTTAGAATCCCCCCCAAAAAATAATCCATTCATTGTCCCACATTGGAGAAATTCTGAAAATTTGTAGATGGGATGAGAGGATTTATTTCCAGTGTATAATATCTAATTACCTTATTTGAAGGGCAAAAATACACACCTTTGACGAATACCATATTTACTTGCTTCAACTGAGGACAGATACACTGATTTACATGTTTTTTTTTATTGTTTAGATCAGTTTAACACTAAATAACACTTAATCAAGTTATGTTATGAGGTGACATAGGTGACCGTAACTGATTCCTTCCTTTTATGCATTTAAAATTACTTGATTATTTAGAAGCCAACGTCGGCTTTAAGCTTTATCAAGATAGCATCAGTTTTCTTTTTTTAGATCAGTCGTCTGAAACCTCAGCTTTGTGGTTCATTAACAGACTAAACATAAATACTTGTCGTGCTTTTTATGTGTTTATTGTTCAACGAACAATGAAAAACCACCAGCCCCATTCTAGGTAAACTAGCTCTAGAACGGCCACTGATTAAATCTTAAAAAGTAAACATTGAATTTCATAACTTTTACACCTTCTGGAATTCTTCAACATTCCTATTCCCTATTCAATCTTTAAAACTTATCTTTGCAGAGCAACTTTACAATAAAGCTCACTTTATAAATGGCTAATGAATTACTATTGATGTGTTCATATATAAATATTCTATAACTCATTCATAAAGGCTTATTATGCATTTTAAATTAGGGAGGCTAAAAAAATGCTTTTTTTCCCTTATACTGAAGTTAGTCTGAAGTGTTGAATAAAAGCAGCTCTATGTGAAACGCATAGATGAACAGCTTAGGTCACTATTTGATCATGATGGTCAGTTCTGTTGCTATAAACATATCTATAAAGTAGTGATGGGTTGATGAGGCGTCATGAAACGTTTCGACACATTACCAAACTGTATTGATACAGTGTCGATACTGTGTCACTGAATACTGACACCTGCTGGACATTAAAAATCCCTACAGGCAACCTAGTTGACAGTTAACTGACACTGATTTGATGACCTATTATATACACTAATATGATGCAATTCATTGTATGATGCATTGTATTATTATTAAAACATATTTGATATTTTAGACAGTCAATGAATGAGAACCTGCATCATAATGTAATAATCTCTAAGTAAACATGTAGTAAATGAAAATGCTTGTTCACTGGTATTTTTTTATTTATTTTTTATTCAAAAAAATAAGTTGTTGCAACGTTTTGAAATTCAGTCTGTTGCGCTTTTTTGATATTAGTTCTCCAGCTGTGGAAAACACCCGCTCACACGGCACAGATGAAGCTGGAGTGCACAAAAATTTTAAGGCCAGGCGGAAGAGGTTTGGATAAACCGTCCTTTGGTTTTTCCAATATACAAGAGGATCCTGGGACCTCGCAATATTGCCCTCTGCCATGTATCTCTGCACCTCAAGGATGGCATCAGCTGTGGCACTTTTGGTCTGCCTCCCCACTTCGAGATCAAAATGTTCCTAAAGGTCATCTTAAAAAAAAAAAAAAAAAAAAAGTATTTTAGTACATGATTTACAAACAACAAAGAAATGATGCTCAATATCATGCCTGAAGTGGGGGCAGACAGCTGTTGTGAAGATGTTCCCGGCTGGGGCTCATTTGAGCTTCCAACTATTGAGGCACATTCTGTCCGCAGCCTGCTGTACTTCCATTTTCGCTCGTTCCCGTTCCTCCTCATACTTTTTGGCCAACAGTTGTTTGATGGTCTGAAAACCACTCCAAGTCAAACCAGAAGAAAATCAATATATTTAAAATAAATTTGATGAATAAACTACCACTTTAGATAATTTCCACACAAACCTTTCTGGTTGGCAAAACATATGAGGGCTCAAGGAGCTGAACCAGCTCCCTGAACCCTTCATTCTCCACAAAAGCGAGGGGCTGGCAGTCCTTTACAATGAAATTAAGCACAGCATCATCAAGCATCTGCTTCCTGGAAGCTTGATGGTTAAAAATGAGAAAGTGTAAATTATTCAGAATTATCAATAAAACAAAGTCAGTAAGTTGTAAAATACCTGTATACCTGAGTTCATCATGGGTGTATCATGGAATACACTCTCATGCTTGGCCCTTTAATGCCTCAGCATTGAGGAGGTGCTGTTATTTAAATATGCAAGCTCTGTTGAGCAATTGCGACATTTAACCTGTAGAAAATAACACGAACAGTAAACTAAAGGTCACTTTGAAATGAATTTCTACTCAGAAAAATCAAGTGGAAACTCTGAGAGGAACAGGATGAAACAAGGAAATTAAAACAAATACCTTATTTTCCGAAATGACATCAAAGTGGTCCCACAAGGCAGAAACTTTTCTTTTTGCTTGAGGAAGCTCCATAATTTTTGATGAATTTTATATTCGCAAAACACGCAAGATTGTTTTGGCAGATGCGCTTCCTTATAAAGGCTTGTCAATCAGTTCGAAACATCGGTCACGTGACCGATACAGGAACTGTTTCGGTCACGTGACTTTTCCGTAGCGATACACACGTCGACACAGGTTTCGCTCTATGAGACCGACACATGCGCCGACGCATCGGTGTTGCCCGACCCATCACTACTATAAAGTATATACCTAGAAGGGGAGCCTTGCTGCTAAGTGGTACCCTATTTTCTATGAATGATATAAAAGCAGTATTGATTAATTGCTAATAAAGTCACAATCTGAGATCCTAACATTGTTAGCCTGAGCTACATGCATTTCAAGTCACACACTAAAGCTTTAAGAAATGTTTATTTAATACAAATTCAGATTCAGAGGAAGTCTTGGCAATCAAACATTTGTTTCAATAAAACCGTTTTCTTTCAGAACGTTTTGACACTTTAAACCTAAATGGCACTCAACATCAAACTGATGCCTTTTTCAGAGAAAAACTGATCCTGAGTTCAGGAGCAACCAGTAATAAATTATCTCTATAACAACCTCAGATAAACGTTTAAATAAAACCTGAATTTTAAAGGAAATTTGAAAAACATGAATACCTGATACTATAGAGCAGTTTGGAGCCGTTCTCATGTAAACAATGTGCAAAACAAAAGCTTTAGATAAATAAAGCAGAAACTGGAGTCCAATAATCCAGAAGGAAGGAGTGTGCAAATAAAACTGAGATAATACTATGTAAATTATTTTATCACATCAACTGAAAAGGTTTCAAACTACTGGATCTGTGCCTGAAGTGTCCTTAATGTTGGCGGCAGTTTGAGTTGGCAGCGATCTGGAGGTGAAGGTGCAGCCCAGAGGAAATTCAGCAGAGTTCAGAGCAGCAGCAGGAAGCGGTCCTTCTCAGCGCCGCCTTTACTAGCGACTCCGGTGGCGTCCCTCTGGGCTCTACTCCAGGCCCAGAGAGAAGTTTATTCCGTGAACGATGCCGATGATGATGGGTTGCCAAGCGACTAAATATCGCAGCCAGTCCAGCAGCTGGCCGTACAAAACGTGAGTTTTCTCCCAGCTTCAAGGAGGAAGAATTAAGGATAATCAGCACCTCATACTAGTTTTCCCAACTAATTATTAACACTAATTTCCAATAAATAAATAATTAAAACTCTACAGTATCAGATTACAGTTAGTTTTTATGCTGTTTAATTTCCAGTGAAGGAGCAGACTGATTACACTGGAAAAAATTGAAATCTAGATAAGTCAGTTTTTCTTGAAATAAGTGCATTTGTTCTTGGATTGAGGAGGTAAACGAGACATTTTGCCAATAGAACAAGACAACTTACATTTAAAATAGGAAAATACAGTTGCATGGTCTTATTTCAAGTGCAGATTACCTAATTATCCTATTTTAAGAGTAAAAATACTTGCTACATTGGCAAACTATCCTATTTACCTACTCAAATTAAAGGTAAATAGACTTACTTTAAGACATTTTTACTTATTTCTAGATTGTTTTTCCAGTGTAGGACTAACAGACATGATGTAACTCTGATGCTCATGTCAAAGCACACTTATGGGAAAAGTTAGCGGTTAGCATAGTGCTATGCTACTTCCTGAGGGAGTTTTCACATGTTATTGCTGTGATGGTGTACATCCCCCCCCTTAGGCGTCCTGCTGCAGCTAAAGATCAGAACATCATCATCGTTTCTGGACTGCAAAACCGGAACCCAAAAATCCCTCCTCCTCGTCTGGGATTAAAGTTAAAAGTGTGCTAGCAAAAGCAGATCTAGTAACTGACTGGAAAACACTGCAATGGACCTAAAAAAGTTAAGAAAAAAAAATAAAATAAAAACAAACAAGGGTGCAACTTGTTGGCCTGGAGGAGTCTAACCTGCAGCTTTCACCTCCAGTGCTCTAATGTTAGAATGAGTGCGATAATAATCAGCAAATGAAGGATACGGGTTGTTCATCATCCGCTTCAGGTCCACCTTCTCGTTGCAGTACGGACACGTCTGCTTCTTTCCCACAATGCACCAGCCCCGGATGCAGAACTCGTGAAATCTGGGCGAGGAGTTAAGGATGAGACCTGATTCTCTGCTCGGCGCCAATAAAGGAAGATGGTCTGAGCTGAATTCAGCTGCTGCTTGTTAACAGAAGCCGTTTCTCAATATGTGTACTTGTGCGTTCTCATGTGCTCGTGAAACGTCATTAGCCTCAGCGCTAGTACTGTTCTAATTCACAAAACAACAGACCAGGAACAGACAGAGTTCCCGGATGTTGTTCTCGCCCCTCCCTATGTACCCAGCGTGCATCAGAGCATTCTTGTCCGTTCTTAGGATCGACAGCTGTCCCAGCATGCACTGCAGCAGCTTCCGGGTGAGCACTCACAGAGCTCAGATTAAGTTAAAAGTTCTCTTTTCTGTTGCTGTTGTTCTATAAAAGTACGTATCGATTTCCTGACCCAACGATTCAATTATTTTCGACACTCAAGAATACACCACGATATGGTTTGATTAATTGGTTCCTTTTTTTTTTAACCTTACAGGCTAGAAAATTTTTCAAACTCGCCCCCACTTCCTTGCCGCCTTGGCCGTATCTAGACCCACAGCGTGTAGCACAGACCACGCTTCAATATTGAGCATAAATTAAAAATGTCTGCGTCAAGCTCACTGCAACACACTGCTGTAAGAGTATAACCAGGAAGCGAGGTAGGAGGGCAAAATAGGTTTAGCACCACCGCAGCACGGGAGGGAGAATTACATCCAGGAGCAAATGGATAAAAATAGACCGGAGGAAAAAAAACATTAATCGATTCACTTGTAGACGTATCGATGCATCCGATCGTCGGCTGTTGGATCGATGCATCGATACAAAACCATTATTATTTACACCCCTAGTCACTATATGGCCCATTTACCCATTTAATGAGCAATTTAAAAAAAATTCAGAAGTTGAGAGGACTGGACCAACCAGCGGAGCTCCTAGGCTAATGGCAGCCAGGGCTAACGTTAGCCCGCCTGCAGCAGCCCTCTCTCGGCATAGCCGTTTGAAGTTCCGCTGGCTCTGATGGAGGTTTTTTTGTTTTATTTGGTAAAATGTTTATTTAGTTTGTGTTTATCCGACTTCGTTCATTATTATTTCCCCAATAAATGAAAAAAGTCAGAATTTATTATTATCTAGAGACTATTAATATCAGGAGGTGAAATGCAGCTCCAGACAAGCCGAGCGTGTGGTGATGTCATCAGTACGCTTCTGTTCCAGTTGACCAACATTTATGCTACGTGCTCCCGTTCTCACCGAGTCCAGACTTTTCTGTGTTCTTGTCAAGAACGTACTTGGCGAGGACAAGATTCCGTACTCGCGTTCTTGTGAATTGAGAAACGGCCAGAGAAGAATGAGATAAATCAGCCCTAAGGAAGCAGCAGGATACATGTGACCACAGGAGAGCTGGAAGGTGTCCTCTATGATCCCCTCCTCCTCCACCTCCACCAGGATCCTCTGACCGCACACGGCGCAGATGTCACCGCTCAGGCTCCTGCTGGGAATGCCTCCCCTGTTGTAATACTGAGAGCACACAGAAATTATGGGGATTTATTTTAGCATTCAGCTAACAAACCAATTAACAGATACACTATATTGCCAAAAGTATTTGCTCACCTGCCTTGACTCACATATGAGCTTAAGTGACATCCCGTTCCTAATCCATAGGGTTCAATATGACGTCGGTCCACCCTTTGCAGCTAGAACAGCTTCAACTCTTCTGGGAAGGCTGTCCACAAGGTTTAGGAGTGTGTTTATGGGAATTTTTGACCATTCTTCCAGAAGCGCATTTGTGAGGTCGCACACTGATGTTGGACGAGAAGGCCTGGCTCTCAGTCTCCGCTCTAATTCATCCCAAAGGTGTTCTATCGGGTTGAGGTCAGGACTCTGTGCAGGCCAGTCAAGTTCATCCACACCAGACTCTGTCATCCATGTCTTTATGGACCTTGCTTTGTGCACTGGTGCACAGTCATGTTGGAAGAGGAAGGGGCCAGCTCAAAACTGTTCCCACAAAGTTGGGAGCATGGAATTGTCCAAAATGTCTTGGTATGCTGAAGCATTCAGAGTTCCTTTCACTGGAACTAAGGGGCCAAGCCCAGCTCCTGAAAAACAACCCCACACCATAATCCCCCCTCCACCAAACTTTACACTTGGCACAATGCAGTCAGACAAGTACCGTTCTCCTGGCAACCGCCAAACCCAGACCCGTCCATCAGATTGCCAGATGGAGAAGCGCGATTCGTCACTCCAGAGAACGCGTCTCCACTGCTCTAGAGTCCAGTGGCGGCGTGCTTTACACCACCGCATCCGACGCTTTGCATTGCACTTGGTGATGTATGGCTTGGATGCAGCTGCTCGACCATGGAAACCCATTCCATGAAGCTCTCTGCGCACTGTTCTTGAGCTAATCTGAAGGCCACATGAAGTTTGGAGGTCTGTAGTGATTGACTCTGCAGAAAGTTGGCGACCTCTTCGCACTATGCGCGTCAGCATCCGCTGACCCCGCTCCGTCAGTTTACGTGGCCTACCACTTCGTGGCTGAGTTGCTGTCGTTCCCAAACACTTCCATTTTCTTATAATACAGCTGACAGTTGACTGTGGAATATTTAGGAGCGAGGAAATTTCACGACTGGATTTGTTGCACAGGTGGCATCCTATCACAGTTCCACGCTGGAATTCACTGAGCTCCTGAGAGCGACCCATTCTTTCACAAATGTTTGTAAAAACAGTCTGCATGCCTAGGTGCTTGAATTTATACACCTGTGGCCATGGAAGTGATTGGAACACCTGATTCCAATAATTTGGATGGGTGAGCAAATACTTTTGGCAATATAGTGTACATCTAACCGTATCAGACAGGTTAAACCTGCTGGTTCTGACTTATTTCTATTCCCTGCAGGATGTTTTAAAGATCAGAAAAGCTCAAACTCTAATTGTTTGTGTTGAAGCTACGTCAGGCTGCAGTGAAGCTGCTGATGAAGCCGTGCAGCTTTACCCCGATGGTGGAAGCCATGTAGTCGGAGCAGATCTCTGCAAAGTCTCGACCCATGACGCCGTAGTAGAGACCGTAGAAAAGCATGATGACGCCGACGTCCATGGAGTCCTCCGCCTTGATCCTGCACAGAGATCAAGAGACGTAAGGACAAATACGCAGAAATAAGTAAAACCAGGGGGGTTTTTCTAATTAGATACATTTTTCAGTTTTTTCTGCATTCAGATGTAGCTGTGCTATTATATCTATGTGAAGAAAAACAATAACTCAGAAAGTGAAAAGATTTAAATATTGGTTAAAGATACAAATAAACACAGAATGCAGTTTTTAAATGAAGGTTTGTATCTTTAAGGGTGGTAGGACAGTGTGTAAAAGTGACTCACCCCTAAAAGTGCAAACAGTTTAACATTTCAAACTTTGACTAGGCCACACAATAACGTTTAAATGATAATATAATTATTTCCTTGTGGTTTGCATAAAAGGATTTTAGAGCTAATAGAGTCACGTGTGACATAAACAGTGATGCAGGTTCCTTCCAGCTGACCAACTCTTCATTGTTATAGTGTTATTGTAAAGTTTATATATTCACCTGAGAACTGATGATGTCAGTGTGTTACAGACCCTGGTTGCGTTCACTGAAGTGTATATGACAATAAAGTATCGAATCTCAATCTATTTATTTTTATTTATTTATTTTATATTTTTTATGTATTATTTATATTTTAAATAGGCCAATAGGCTCATAGGTTTTTTTGGGCAAAAATTTTCACAACACTCGCTGTTCAAAATTGCTTCCAGCAGCCCTGAAATGGCCATCAACTGTCTGAAGCAGATATTTAATAATGTTCAACACTTTCTCTAATGTTCCAATTAGCAGAAACAGAACAAACAGTAGTGATGCTGTACGGAAGAGGATTAGGGCCACTGAAAAAGTATAGTATGGGAAAAAAGTCAGAATTCTAACTTTAATCTCAGAATTCTGACTTTTTTCTCAGAATTCTGACTTTTTTCTCAGAATTCTGACTTTTTTCTCAGAATTCTGAGATTAAAGTCAGAATTCTGACTTTTTTCTCAGAATTCTGAGATTAAAGTCAGAATTCTGACTTTTTTCTCAGAATTCTGACTTTAATCTCAGAATTCTGACAATAAAAAAAAGTCAGAATTCTGAGAAAAAAGGGAGAATTCTGACTTTAATCTCAGAATTCTGACTTTTTTCTCAGAATTCTGAGATTAAAGTCAGAATTCTGAGAAAAAAGTCAGAATTCTGAGATTAAAGTCATAATTCTGACTTTTTTCCCATACTATACTGAAATAAAAAAAAAAAAAATCAGTTAACTTTTTTTTTTTCCAGTGGCCCTAATCCTCTTCCGTAGATGCTGCTTTGGTGTCTATAGAATAAAAATCTACAAATTTGCAAACAAAGTTGAACAACCAAGGACTAATTCAAAGCCCAGAAAGCAGGTGCTCTAGCACCACCTAGTGTCCATCAGTGGACGTCCCCGGCTGCTTGAACAGAGACGGACCTGAAGAAGACGTTGAAGCCGAACATGGTGAACATGATGGCCAGGTAGCCCAGGACTCCCACCGCGTAGCTCAGCTTGTAGATCAGCAGGAACCATTTGTAGACCATCCTGGAGATCAGAAGGAAAGATAGAGACAAACAAACACTGGATCACGTTACGTCTTCAGATCAGTGCGACTAAAACCTTCAGGGCTCTATTGAACATACAGGGTCACAAGTTTACAGCAGGTTTTTCTACACTGATGGTTACTAATAGCATTAAATGCTAAAAGTGATTGTGTTTCAACCAGATGCATCATGGGCCGCTGATGCAAACTGACACTTTTTTACATTTTATAGGATAAGATTTTCTCTGAGCTGCAGGTTATAAACCAGACAATGTTAAAAATATTAATATGAGGTAGAAAGGAGAACAAATAGAAGAATAGAGCTTTAAATGAAGACCAAAGAGGATGATTTCACATTTAAATTGATTAGATACTGTCTTTACTTTATTATTGAGATTCTTTAAATAAATAGATTGAAAGACATGAATTAGTTTTAACTTCCTGATTCTGCTATTTGTTGAGAAGATCAAAGGTGGATCAGCCTGTAGTGTTTTTTCACTTGAAGTTCGTGTGCGTCTGCGAATCCAGGCGTCTATTGGTTAATAAATTTGATTTCAGTTTGTGATTTTAATGTGAATTTGTCATCGGAACATTCAACTTCATACAGAAAAAGTATTTAATGAAAATCTTACATTCATTTCAATCTAGGATGTTATTTGAGTGTTCCTTTGACTTTTAGAAGCAGTGTATTATTTGATTTAAAAAATCAAGCCCAGTGGGCTGTCCATTAAATATACAATTGTTGTACAACAGGTACGATATTAACCAATTAATTGCATGCAAATTTGAAGTAACTTAACATTTTTTTATTTATTTATTAGGTTTGTTAAGTAACATTGTTTCAATCTATCTGTAACCACAAAGCTAGAACAGCCCAGGCACCCTCAGAGTGGCGTGCCCTCCTACCTGGGTGTCCTGCAGGATAGCGGCTTGCGGGTCGCTCTGAAGATGACGTAACTGGTGATGACTGAGAACATCCCCCACATGGACAGGAACCTCCACCAGTAGAGCTTGATGGTGAAGTAAAGAGGGACAACCCACATCTGGACCAGAGTCACCAGCTGGAGGACGACGGAGAGAACATTACGTTTTCACGCCAGACAAAAAGCGAAGTAAAAAGCGAACTAAAAATACGTTTTAACTCCCAGATGAAATGATCTGGTGATACAATGGTGAAAGGGATAGCAGAAATATTCTTAACTGGGTTTTGTTGTGTAGCCTTCAGTGGTTCCACATCCTTTATTAAACAAAGTTTATAAATATTCAGGAACTATAAATAGAGCTTTTTGTAGTTGGACGGCAAGTATCAGTCATGCATCATTTCCTGCTCTCCAAGAAGTTAGTTTGATTATTTTCAGCGCAGAGCCGTCTAGTTACAAGTAGGAATGCAACCTATCAAATTATAATTTAATCTAGAATTTATTGATCTTATCGATCGACTTACGATTCATTAATAAGCGCCCATGTTCTTAAAAACTTGATTTTTTTTTTTAGTAACAATAAAATCTTTCCATAAGATGAATGGATAGATATTTTTAAAAATATGCTGAATCAAAAAGGTACATATCAGGGGTCGGGAAAAAGAAAATCAACAACCAGTAAAGGTCCAGAGACATTTGTAATTATAATCTGTTACTTTAAACAGCATTTAACACTGAAATAAGATGCAGGTGTTTATGCATCTATGTTATACATACCGTATTTTCACGACCATAAGGCGCTAGGGTTGTCAAAAGTATCGATATTCAAAAAAGTATCGATACTGAAATGTTGTTTCCGGATACAATACTCATTTTCAAAAGTATCGAGTACCAGTCGCACCTAAACAGTCATTCATCTAAAGTGCAGAATAGAGGAAAATGCACTTTCTGAACACTGTGTGATTGAATAATTCTGTGCACTTTTCAGTTTCAGACTTTTTTTGTAACAGGTGCAGCTGCTGAGAATTATTTTTGTTTCTTAACCGGTTTGGCTAGTGTCATTGTTATGTGTGCAAAGCATAGCCAAGGAAGGAACACTTAATTTTAATTTTGTAATTTTTTTAATCAAGCTTATTTAATACTGTGCACAGCAAACAACCTCAAAATGTTGTTCTTATTGTTTATTGTATTTATTTATTGTATTTTAATTATCAATCAAAATATTTCTGTTGAAATTTTATTCTTGTGGTATCGAAAATGGTATCGAGTATCGAATATTTTCCTTAGTATCGGTATCGAGTTGAAAAGTTTAGTATCGTGACAACCCTATAGGGCGCACCGGACTAAAAGGCGCAGTCTCAGTTATGTGTGCCATTTCTGTATTTAACACACACATAAGGCGCACCGGATTATATGGCGGGGGTTTTATATACAGGTACATGTCCTCTACTACCTTTAAATACCTCTACTGCGTATTTAAAAATAGAGCGGGAGCAAAACTGAGTATGTTTGTGCTTTATTCATGTATTTGTTACAAAGTATTATTTAAACCTGGGAGCTGGCCGTGAGACAGACACATCGCAGATGACAGCGCGCTGTGATCACTCCTCTGAAACAGTTTATTGACGCATAAATTAACTTAAAATGCTGAAACCTGCCGACAGAATATGTTCGCTTTTATTATCCTGGTGCCTGCAGTTTAGATTATTTAGATAAAAAATACCTGCCAGCCGCCGCGGTGAACCGCTAGGAGGCGACTAGGGGTGTAAATCACATCCATCATGGCGATTCGATTCAGTATTGATTTCCTGACCCAACGATTCGATTAATTTCGATACTCAAGAATACACCACGATACGATTCAATTAATTGGTTCTTTTTTTTTTTTTTTTTTTCTTTTTACACCTTACAGGCTAGAAAATATTTCAAATTTGAAATAAATCAATGAAAGCTGTAATATTGTTATGCATTTTTTTGGGAGAAACAACAGCAAATTACAAAAGTAGAAAAGTTGCACTCCATCTATTCCTTTTAAGACCTCATTCACTGAAAAATAATCAGAGATGGGAAGTAACGAAGTACAAATACTTTGTTACTGTACTCAAATAGATTTTTCTGATATTTTTACTTTACTTTACTACTTATTTTTATGGCGACTTTTTACTTCTACTCCTTACATTTTTACACAAATATCTGTACTTTCTACTCCTTACATTTTAAAAAATCTGCTCGTTACTTTAGTTTTGAATCATTTCAATGGAGTTACCGTTATTATTTTTCACGTCATCAATACCAAATTCAATCTAATTGGATGGGAATCTACGTTGCATTTGACGCACCACTACAAGATGAATCAACAGATTCGGCGGTATTCATTCGCTGCAAATCATTGCAGCTTGGTGGCGGTGGCGTTAGCATAGTAGTATGGACGACGAGATGATTGAAAATGAACACAACGGAGATCTAGTCCTATTGGCAGACATCCATTTAAAATGTAGGCAACGACATGAAAAAAGTGGTTTCTACTTTTACTTTTATACTTTAAGTAAATTTATAAGCCTGTACTTTGTTACTTTTACTTGAGTAAAGAAGTTTAATCAGTACTTTCACTTTTACCAGAGTATTTTTTAACACAAGTATCTGTACTTTTACTCAAGTACGGAAAGTGAGTACTTTTGCCATCTCTGAAAATAATAATACCCATGCGTTATAGATTCTGAAAGGCCTTTCATCAAAAAATACTGCACAAAATCAGTGCAATGAGTGCAATTCAATACCTCGGCTCCAGACGTCCCCGCCCCCTCCACAGACGCTCCGCTGCTCCTCTCCCAGATTGTAGCTGACCGCAAACAGCGCCGCAGACAGGAGGCCAGCTTGCTTTGTTTTTGTGACCGAAATTGCGGAAAACAACTCGTGAAGTTTGACCCGCTAGAAGAGTGAGGTGCACGAGAACGCTGGGACCCTTTTTCAACCTGGATCTCCGCTCTTTTTGGCCCTCATGTCCCTCCGTCGTCGGATTAAACTCGCCCCCACTTCCTCGCCGCCTCGGCCGTATCTAGACCCACAGTGTGTAGCTCAGACCACGCTTAAATACTGAGCATAAATCTAAAACGTCTGCGTCAAGCTCAATGCAACACACTGCTGTAAGAGTATAACCAGGAAGCAAGGTAGGAGGGCAAAATAGGTTTAGCGCCACTGCAGCACGGGAGGGAGAATTACGTCCAGGAGCAAAATGGATAAAAATAGACCAGAGGGAAAAAAAAAACATGAATCGATTCTCTTGCGGACGTGTCGATGCATCGATACAAAACGATTATTATTTACACCCCTACCTGGCGCCGTAATGCAGCACAGCTAAATCAGCGCTATTTAGGTGATAACTGAAGGAGTTCGTAGTCTTTATATTGTCCTTGTTACCATTAAACGGTGTAAATAGTCCCAGACTCGGGATCAATTCATGCTTTTGCTGTAGCATAATCTCTGGCATTAATTACTGTAAATGCAAGTAAAGCTATGCCTAAGAATGACCGAGTGTTTTTAATCTAAAGTATCTATACTTCTACTTAAGTAACAAATGTGTGTACTTTTGACACCACTTTTTATTATCAATACTTGTCCAATTTCAACAAATTAGATAATATTTTTCCATTTAAAGAGTTTAGGTTGTTAAACCAAAGAGATTTAGCAGTTAAACAAGTTGAAAAGAATGTGGCAGTTTTAGAGACAAAGCAGCTGCAGTATTCTGAGGTTGGCCTTGAATCTGATCAGAGGGGAAATCAAAGCCTTCTTTGCTCACATTGTAGGACCGGTGATGCCTCTGCTTCCACTGCACCAGGACTATCTGAGCCACCACCAGCGTGGCGATCAGGATCAGCACCATCTCTGCATGCATGGCCTCATGACCCCGGTGCTTCACGTGCAGCCGCTCATGCTGCATCCTGCAGAGAGGAAGAGGGTCAGAGCTGCTGATTGAAGCTCAGAGGAAGCAGGAGCTGCCCGTCGCTCACCTCCAGTTCTCCCTGTGGCTCATCTTCAGCAGGTCGTCCTGAAATCAGACAGAAATAGCAGCTGCTGGGAGCTTTTCATCTCAAATCTAGGTTAACGCGATCCAGCTGCTGAGGTGAAAAAACAGCTGGAAACCATTAATGAAATCTGAAAGGAGGCGATTAGATGTTTAAAACATCTGTAATAACGCCTCTCTAATAATGCCACGTCAAATTACCAGCAGCGTCAGCTAATTAGCCGCTTAGCTTTCTTAAAGTTACCCCCGTTCATGTCCGATTTTAAAGTGAAAGAATGACTTATTTAGCTGTCAGACAAACATAATATTCATTTGCCGTTAACTGACCACCGACCTGAGGATGAACACCTGCCATCGCCTTTCTCTGCCCTCCTGCTGCAGACCAAACGGTCGGGGCGGCGCTAACGGCTACGGGGCGAGAGTACGGAATCCCATGAGGGACAATCTGCACCGCGGTGCATTATTCCCCTTTAAACGTACTGGCGTCTTTCAAAAATCAAAATGTACAGAAGTTATTTGTTCTTAGGAGAAAGAGGTAAAAGAGACATTTTACCAATAGAACAAGACAATTTACATTTAGATTAAGAAAACACAATCCATTGTCTTATTTCAAGTGCACGTTAATTATCTTAATTTAAGAGTTTATTCATTCCATTGGCAGACTCATTTAACTACTCAAATTAAGGGTACCGGTACTTAATATTTTTAGATCCAGGTTTCCAATTTAAATTTTCTAAAGTTAAGATTTATGTTAACTTGACATGTTTTGTCAAGTTGTAGGCATTTTATTTTAAAAGTAGTCTCATATTTGCTCAGATAGACTGGATTTTCCAACACCAAAGAAAATTTGATGCTATGATTTAATTAGCAGAGTTATTAACCCAGTTGTACATTAAAAGTCCAATGTAGTGTGTTTTAATCAAGCTGACCTCTCAACAAAACCCAGTATTCCTCATTTTAAATGAAGTTCAGATTTAACTTTGACACCAGTGTGCTTCACTGCCATCATTAAACTTCTCCTGGAATCAATGAAATTCCACAGATTGGTTTTGTTCACCTGGTCTCTTAACTTCACACAAATAGCTTTAGGATAGCTCAGCTGAGATTGACACGATTTTATTTTGAACTGTATGCCAAATATATTTTGAAACAATAAAAGCAGTTCAGCTTCAAATAAGTAAAGAGGCTTGAAAACGTGTCTCATCTTACTGCACTCCAAAGGAAATTGTCTAATAAAAACATTTTCCATCATAGATCTGGGGAGTAGAAGCAAATATAACAAAGCCACCATGCAGGGAATGATGAAACTTTCTGAACTTTCAGTTAACCAAGTTCAGCCATTTAATACATCCAAAACACCGGTCAAAGTCTTGAGAAAAAGAACAAAAGGCAAATTCAAGTTTCTTCAGACTGGTTTTATTATTAAACTTAAGTCAACTTTTGCCATTTTGTATACAGTGTATATTAAAAAAAAAAAATTGTTAAGCAAAGCTTTTCAGATGGTAAAGTAACATTTCTATTCCATAAAGTTCAGTGACCAAATGTAAACAGTGTGGGAGAAAAAAACAAATTGTGCATAAACTTCCAGTTTTAAGCCTTTTTATTGATTAACAGACTGTAGTTCAATCCCAAAGGAATAACAGGAGCCCAATGAAGTCCAGTCACCTGTTGACAAAAAAAAAAAAAAGGTAAGCACAAATTGCTGATGAAGGATTTACAGCCAGAATTAAAGTCGCTCAGACATCCAAGGAAGATTTGAACCATCTTTGGTCGTGTGACCTCTGGTGGAAACTGCGAATGGATAAAGTAGTCGTCATCACAGCGACCAGAACAAGGAGGGAAGAGAAACAGAAACCTACCGACTAACCTCCATCACTGATCCGGATGATCCTGCAGCTGCAAACATCTCACCACCTGGAAGAATCAAAACGAGACGTTTCCTTTAGTGTTGATAAGGCAAAGCATTGAAGGTGAGGGCATCACCCCCACAAACATAGTTCCCATTTTGCATTCTTCAAACAAAAAGGAAATTCAGTTAAAGTTCAGTCCTCATATCCAACAGCCCCATTCAATGTCACTGTTGCAGCTGAGTGAAGTTCAAACCAGACAGAATTGGCGTCAAATTCGTGCTACGCTTGTAGAGCAAACATTTTGGTTTGTGTCGCCATAATTCCTGTGCCCTTCTCACGTATGCAAAAAAAAAAAAAAAACCCAATCAACTTTGTGTCAAACTGTGCTAACTTTGTGCAGCAGAAGTTTGTTTGTGCTGCTATAATTTTTCCAGGTTATAATTATTCAGATTAGCAACTTGCATATGCAATTCAGTTTTCAGCATGAACTGATGTTCACTGACCTTTGAGCTCTGCAAATTCTACAATTAATAAGATAGCAGTACAAATGACATTTTTTTTCTATACAAAAACATAAAATTTCAATATGGAAAATGAATACATTTTATATATGCATATCGCAACATATATAAAATGTTTGTACTGCTATCATTTTAATCACTGCGATCTTTTTATCACCCCCATGTAACTAATTTGCAGAGGAATGCAAAGTTCCTTCTTGTTTGACAACAGTCGCTCAGACATCCAAGGAAGATTTGAACCATCTTTGGTCGTTAGACCTCTGGTGGAAACTGCGAATGGATAAAGTAATCGTCATCACAGCGAACAGTTGTCAGCCAACGCCATGCAGCCGGTTTATATACTAACTGTTGCCATAGAAGTAACTCAAACCAACCTGCATGTTCTCATGTTCTGGAAGCTCTTCAATAGGAACCCCTTCATCTGAAATTAGAAGACATTCATTTGAAACAAAAAATGGAGGTTAAAAAAAGTACATTATCAAAGCATGTTTGGTTCGCTCAGACATCCAAGGAAGATTTGAACCATCTTTGGTCGTGTGACCTCTGGTGGAAACTGCGAATGGATAAAGTAGTCGTCATCACAGCGACCAGAACAAGGAGGGAAGAGAAACAGAAACCTACCTGTCAACCTCCATCACTGATCCGGATGATCCTGCAGCTGCAAACATCTCACCACCTGCAAGACACGATCAATAAGATCCTTCAGCATCTTTAGTCATAAATGAACAACAAAGAAAATCTTAAGCCATAGAATGAGCGGCCCAGAGCCAGAGAAGACATCCCAAGAACAAACAGATTGTAGAAATACAAGATCTGGTCCAAAATCTGATTGATACCTTTCCCCATTCCTTTAAACTAAGAAGCCATACAAGACGGACTTTATTTTCAGGGGCACAAAAATTTAACTGAGACATTAAAGTAAAGTATCGCCTGCAAACTAACTCATTTACAGAGGAATGCAAAGTTCCTTATTGTTTGACAACATTCGCTCAGACATCCAAGGAAGATTTGAACCATCTTTGGTCATTAGACCTCTGGTGGAAACTGCGAATGGATAAAGTAATCGTCATCACAGCGAACAGTTGTCAGCCAACGCCATGCAGCCGGTTTATATACTAACTGTTGCCATAGAAGTAACTCAAACCAACCTGCATGTGCTCATGTTCTGGAAGCTCTTCAATAGGAACCCCTTTCGTCTGAAATTAGAAGACATTTATTTGAAACAAAACGAAATGGAGGTAAAAAAAAAAAAAGTTCATTATCAAAGCATGCTGGGTTCGCTCAGACATCCAAGGAAGATTTGAACCTTCTTTGGTCGTTTGACCTCTGGTGGAAACTGCGAATGGATAAAATAGTCGTCATCATGGCGACCAATAAGCCCAGTTTAGAGCCATGTTCACACAGCAGCATAGAGTGACCAAATCAGATTTTCTTCACACGGCATAGTCAGTATCAAGTTTGTCAAATCTATAAATCATGTGAGGGAGCATAATAGTAATATAGTCAGATATTGAAAATATTGCGCATGTAATATATACATTTATTGATACATTGTTATGTCAATTAGATTAAAGGCATTTTAATTTCAGAGTGGGGAGTACCAAGACGGCAGCAGGTCACCGTTTTTCTCTCCCAGTATATCAGCAATCAAGCAAATTAATACAGATCAGTGGGAGAGCAGTCTCTTTTTTCCACTTTCTAGAAACGATACTATAGTTAATACACTGGCTGTGGTTTTGCAGGTATGCTTCTGCACCAGGACACAACAGTTTCCCGCCAAAGCACAAGGGGGAGCCTATTTCAGAACTTGGGCGGTACTGGTGGGAGTATTTATCTTCCAAAACTTTTTGAGATGCACGACAACAGTTGCAGAGCATCTGTGCACAGATTAGACTGTTGCACAGGCTATGCGCCAGAAGCATTAATCGGCCTTTGGTGTGAATGCAGTTCACAGATCAAATACAAGTTGCATATAATTGGAAATATAAACGACACATAAGAACCTGATTTCACAAAAAAAAAAATATCAGAACTGATAATTAAGGCCTGCAGTGTGAATGTAGCCAAAATGCCAACCTGGAAGGTTTCCATAGCAGCTGTTCTGCTTAAAACTATCCAATTAAATCATACATACCAGTTAGACTTTTCAGCACAGACAATCGTACATCTCCATCATGGAAACAGCAGGAAGATGTTCAGCCTGGAAACGGATCAATACAAAGCTCAACTTTGATGGGAAATACCTTAGATTACAAAAATGAAAGTTCATTCTGAAGGGAGAGGGGACAAAGATGCTTCAATATGGGAAAAAAGCTAAAAATACTCAATACCAAGATCTTGCTCAATTTTGGCTCAAAGCCAAATCTTTTTAGACCCAATTTTCATTTTGACTTAAAAATAGAGCTGAAACTCATCTACTGGAAAACAAAAACAAGTGTTTTATACAGAATCCCAACTTAAAATCGAACTAGCAGCTCATTAAAATCTCTGCTCCTACAGCAGCAGATTTAACACCCTGTCTGTTTCCTTCATACCCTGTCCAAACATAGTCATTTTCACACTAAAATTAATAGTTTTTAAAAACAAAATCCATCGTTTCTGCTCATTTCCAGCCATATTTTAGCAGTTCCATCAATACTACAGACCCGTCTCTTCAGGCTTAACTAAAACCTCAAGTCATTCATGACATTTTGAGATCCTAACTGCAGGGAAATATTACCATACAGACTAAAGTACTTTAAATGTGCCCAACTGAGGGAGTGGCGCCCTCTGGAGGTTAAATTGAGAAATTTCTATCATACTTTTAATCTAAAAACCAAGAAGATTCCACAGCACAAAGCTGAAAAAAAAAAAAAAAAAAGACTAAGTCTTAAAGGGGACCCCAAGTTCATCTTAAAGCAATGATCAAATCTTAGCTCTAAGGTTTCTCATCAATTCTCTTATCCCCACATTTAAACAAGAGGACAATCACATGACCTACCGACGCATATCCTTTCATTTCTTCTTAACCCAGCAGTTTGCACTGTAGTACGATTTGGCAGCATCACTACGGTGGCTGTGAGGGCCATTTTCTCACACCACAAGTCGTACCCTGTGGAAATAATCTCTGTCAGTAAGGGATCACAAAGGGAAAACAAACACTGTGGTAAAAACAGTCCAACGCTCAGACATCCAAGGAAGATTTGAACCATCTTTGGTCGTTAGACCTCTGGTGGAAACTGCGAATGGATAAAGTAGTCGTCATCACAGCGTAGGAAAGGTGAAAAAAAACACACCAAGGATACTGACCTGGTCTGAGTTGCTGGATTAACACGCAGATCACCTCAATTCTGGGGGGGGAAAAACAAAACAAACTAAGCTGGCAGACCAACAATATTTGATTTAATCCCTGATGCAGACTGTATGAACAAGGCTTATACCGGAATGACTCTGAACATGTGGCTTTACGATAAACCGGGGAAACAGTCCTGCGAAAATATATCGAGATATTATAGATCTGACGAAAATGTTAATCTTTTTTTTTCTATTTTTCTTTTTAATATAGCATTTAAAATGCCACAATAATCATATTTAATGAATTTTAATGCCAAATAAGGCCTTAATTTAAAAAAATAATTGAATGACTCTATGTCCTGCATGAATGCATATTACTACATGCATGTTTTTGACTATTTGAGCAGATGTAACGATTCTCCACGGTGAGATCAATGCATTAATATATGCATGCATTATCTCAAGTTGATCGAAATCAAAATATTTCAAAAAAAGCTTTATATGAGCTGAAGTCTTTTAAAGCAGGATTATTACACACGGTTGTTGCACAAGGCATTTACATAGATGGGTATTTATCTATATAACTAATGGGCAACTTTTTCCCGATATAAATCAATTAAAAAAAAAATAAAAAAAACCACACTTCTGAGGACCAGGATTCTCAAAGTTGTTAAAATAGAGAAACGTGATAAAATGTTAATTGTGTAGTTTATAATTCGCCCCACACTGTCAACACGTGTAGAACTAATTAGGACTTAAAAATAGAAATACTTTATCCCAAGCTGGGAATTAAATGCCGCTTTAAAGCATATAAATAAGAATAAGATGTACTTTGGAGAAAACAGCAAAAGCAATAAAATGTGTACTGCTACTAAATAAGAGCAAGAAAAAAAAAAACACGAACCGTTTTACCTATAAGGACTTAAAAACATTATTGAAGTTAGAGGATATATTAATTAAATGTACTCTATGTGTAAAAACGTGGAGTTAAATGTTCGCACCAGAAACCAACGTGCAACAATCTAAACCCATCCTCTATATAACATCCCCATCACACGTTTACTACATCAGATAGCGATTAAATGCGCGGTTATAAATCTAAATAGTGATAAATTAGAAGTTTAAAGCTAAGATTTAGACTGAAATCACAAGTTTAAGCGGCATTACCTGATTACCAGCTCAATGCGCAGCAGAAATGACCGAAGCAAAGCTTCTGCGCTGGTTTTATACGTCACGGCAGCGACTGAAACCGGTGTGACGATTGAGCGCCCCCTATTGGACGGGAGGTAGAGGGTGGAACTGTATGCAGTCTAGGCCTACATTATAAAACATTTCTTTCTTATGAATATATGATAGATACATTTCTGTTTCTTTTTTTGCCCTTAAAAAAGCTATATTTGTTGGGTTTTTCTTCAAAGAATTTCAGTCATGATTGAGTCATTGTTGGAGTCTGCATTTTTTATTTTATTTTATTTATTTATTTTCTTAGTTTTTTCCTAATTGCTTTGATTCTGTTTTATTTCCCTATATTTTAATCATGTAAAGCACGTTGCATTGTCTTTGTACTGAATTGTGCCATACAAATAAATTTGCCTTGCCTTGCCATTGCCAATTAAACATTTGCAGCATTAAAGGACTGATGTCTCAGCAGGATCTAGAAAATCACAGCAGAAATGGTGGCAATTATACTAAGCTTATAATGGGTAGAGGAGGTCAGACCAGACAGGGTAGTATTCCGTATTCAGGGAGAAGGACATAATAGAAAAGATTTAGTATTAGAAATCCAGCACAGTCTATTTAGATTTTAAAGAGGTGGCATTGATATTTGGTTATGTTGGGTTCCAGCACATGAAGGTGTAAAAGGCAATTAAAAAGCAGATATATTAGCAAAAAGGGCTTTAGAGGGAACAATAATGATTACAATTCCTGTTGGGAAAGGAGAAGGGAAATCACTTATAAAGAGTAAAGAAATGGAAAAATGGCCAATGAGGTAAAATGAAGATAAGAAAGGGAGAGGATTATATAAGGTAGAAAAATCAGTGTTAAATAGAATCATTAATGAGAGAAACAGAATGGAAAAAGTAATAATGATCAAATTAGGAGTGGATCATACCTTTTTAAATGACAATTTATATTTAATAGGGAGGAAAAATAATGATAAATGTGAAGGATGTGTAGAAAAAGAAAATGTAGAACACATAGTGATGAACTGTAAAACTTATGAACATGAAAGGGAGAAAGAAGAAGAAGGATCTAGAAAAGCTCATTAATGCATTTATCTTTAGTAGAATTGATTACAGCAACAGTGTCTTCATAGTATTGCCAAAAAACTCCATCAGACAGCTGCAGCTGATCCAAAACGCTGCTGCCCGTGTTCTCACTAGAACTAAGAAAGTAGAGCACATGAGCTGGTTCTGAAGTCCTTCCACCGGCTCCTATGTAGCTCCGACAATAGTCTTTAAATTTATCCTGTTAGTCTATAAATCACTGAATGGATCAGAACCTCAATATAGCAGATCTGTTGTCAGTGTATCTACGTCTCAGACCACTCAGGTCTTCTAGTTCAACCTTACTCTGTTCACCCAGAACTAGAACCAAACAAGGAGAAGCAGCATTTAGTTCCTATGCGCCACTGATCTGGAACAAACTTCAAGAACACTGGAAAAGTGCTCAAAGCCTGAGTTCTATATATAGATTGAAGTTAAACTGCTAACCGAAGTATTATTAGTTTAAGGTTGTAATCCAACTGTTTTATTTTCTTCTCTACCTGCTTTTATCATTCTTTTCTTGCTTTTATTCTGCTTT